GGAACGGCCTCAGGCTGGGCCAGGGGAGGCTCAGGGTGGATATTAGGGAAGATTTCCTCATGGAAATGGTTGTCCAGCTCTGGCATAGCTGCCCAGGGCAGTGCTGGTGTCCCCGTCCCTGGAGAGATTTAACAGCACTGTGAATGTGGCCCTTGGGGACTTGGGGCAGTGGTGAACACAGTGGTGCCAATCAGTGGCCTCAGACGTCTTTTTCAACCTTAAGAGTTCTGTGACACGTGGCACTACAAACCAGAAAATGCCTCCCTGAGGATCAGCATTCCTTCTTCTCCATGTGCACGTTTTCAAACTTTCTGTTAAGGAGCAGCCTTGCCCCATGCAGCCTGGGGAGCTGCTGCATTCCCAGTGCTCTCATGGCTCTGTGGTTTCCAGCTCGGCCACCAGCTGACCACATCCCCCAGCTGGTGGGCAGCTGATAGCAGCACTGCGTTCCTGCTCCGGAGCACGCTAAGAGTTGTGTAAAAATAGCGGGGAAAGGAAGCTCAAATCCACCAGGAAGAACAGAAAAAGGAGAGAGGAGGAGAAGAACAACCTCTGAGCTAAAGTGAGCAGGCAGCAGCCAAACCCAGAGGTGATGAAAGAAATGAGGTGTGTGGTAATCCCGTGCAAGAGAAGGTTCCCCTCATGGCAGAGCTGGGGTGAGTGGGAACAGCAATTTTGGGAAGTTCAAAATGTAAACAGGAATGCAGAACTTCTCATCAGAAACCACACTTGCATCATGTTAGGTTGGGACATGGTGTGGCACAACCGGTGTGGAAATGCCATATTTTGGCAAAGGGAGGGGAAAATACATCTTCAAAATAGTCAGTTAGAAGGAAAAAAGCTTCATTTGGTTGTGTTTGTTTACATCTTTATGAGGATAACTGGCACCTAGAGAAAATCTGGATTTGTTTTTCTCCGCCATTATTTTTCCCTTGTGCCATTCCCATGCTTATCAAATCATGGCTCTCCTGCTTTGGCTGATAGAGCCTTTCAGCAAAGAAACTGTAGAGACAACTTTCCAGTCACCTAATTAAACAAACATGTTGATTGAAACTTCTCCAGAGTGCTTTTCCTAGCAATTTGCCAATGTTTTATTAAAATAAATGTCAAGAAAAACACTGTCACAGGCTCAAATAATTTAGATTTTGGAGGTTCTGTAGTCCGTCACTGCTCAGAGTAGGACTGGCTTTGATGCTGGATTGGGTAGCTCTTGGAATCCCAGGGGTTGGGGTATGGCCAGGGATGAAAGTTTTACAGTTTGGAAACAATTATTTGCAATTTCCCCCTCCAGCTGTACTATTACTTGTGTTTCACTGTGTGATTGATACACAATCTACTTCTCCATAACGTCCTCCAAGAAAAAAAACTGGAGGTGAGACCTTTGTGCTGAGTGTTCACCCAATGCCCAGGTTCCCAAAATAGGCACCAGAGCAGGATCTTAGAGGATGACTTGAAGGAGAAGTGAAGTGTTCTTGTTCCTATCCCCTTCAGTCCTGGAGCAGAGTCACTTGTGACATGTTTGAATTGGGCAGTGACAGGATGTCCTTGGGCACCTGTGCTGGAATCAGGGGAGGGGACTGTGCCCTGCCCAGGTGAGTGCCCACCTGCAGAGCTGCCCCAGCCCTACAGGGCTTGGAGCAGCTGGGACAGTGGGAGGTGTCCCTGCCATGGCTGGGCTGGAGTGGAAGGACTTTAAGGCCTCCTCCAACCCAAACCATTCTCTGCTAAACCAAACCAGCTCTGAGAGTGTGACAGCCCAATAAAGGTGCTGCAAAGCCCATCCTTAAAGACACACTTGAGTCAGGATTTAATGAAGGGATGCAGTCCCTTTTCCATCTCCTCGCCTTGTCGTTGCTGATGGTGCTGGATCCCTTCTGTGCTTCACACGGCTGAGGCGTTGCAGAGGAAGTGGTGGGAGCACCTGGAGGGGGTGGCTGCATCCCTGTCCTGTGGGGCAGCTCCCTGGGATGTGCAGGGATGTGTTAATTAAACAGCTCCTCCTGACCTGGGAGTGCTCCCATCACGAGCTGCTGTTCTGGAGAGGGCCAGCAGCCCTCATAGCCAAGTTTCTTCTTACAGGCAGCTTTTTCCCCTTATTTTGGCAGAAGTTGTTGACTTAGGAAGTGATAACAGTGGAGGTTCTTATCAGAGCCCAGCAGCCTTGCAGCAGGAATGCTGATGAGCGTGTCGGGGGGGTTTGCTGAGCTCTGGCAGCAAGAAAGCGGAATTGTTAATGCTTATATTGGAACATTTTTGTCCTGTTTTTAAACTTCTTGACAAAACTCTTGAGATTTGGTGGCTTCTTCCAAGCCTCATTAAAATCAATAAAAAGCTTGTTGCAGATTTTGTGAAGTTTTTTTTTTTTTCCCTCGTTTGGACTGAAACCACACAAAATCAGTCCAGCTCCTGCACCCGAAATGTGTATCTTGCCTTTTGAAAAGCACATACGTGGCCAGAACACTGTCTCTGAGGAGTCGTTCTAGAGTTGTATAGTCTGCCTTCAGAGCTTTTTTGTGTGTGTTTAATAAACTTGCTCCATATTCCCCTCAAAGGTGACTTTGTATCAACAGGCAGCTGTGCAGGAATGCTGATGAGCGTGTCGGGGGGGTTTGCTGAGCTCTGGCAGCAAGAAAGCGGAATTGTTAATGCTTATATTGGAACATTTTTGTCCTGTTTTTAAACTTCTTGACAAAACTCTTGAGATTTGGTGGCTTCTTCCAAGCCTCATTAAAATCAATAAAAAGCTTGTTGCAGATTTTGTGAAGTTTTTTTTCTCCCTCGTTTGGACTGAAACCACACAAAATCAGTCCAGCTCCTGCGCCCGAAATGTGTATCTTGCCTTTTGAAAAGCACATACGTGGCCAGAACACTGTCTCTGAGGAGTCGTTCTAGAGTTGTATAGTCTGCCTTCAGAGCTTTTTTGTGTGTGTTTAATAAACTTGCTCCATATTCCCCTCAAAGGTGACTTTGTATCAACAGGCAGCTGTGAAGTTGAACTTGTTGCATGCTCAAGCTGGTACCTCGCAGTCAAACTGTGCCCATTCCCATCTGGTGCTGGGATTCATTATCAACCCATAAAATTATTGGGATTGGTGTTTGACTTGTTGGCTGAGAGAGGTTTTTTTAAAATAAAAACAAAGTTGACCTCTGTTGCAGGTAATGAAATGTTGCTTTTAGAAACTGTTTTATGAAATGGTAAATCAAAGTTTAGCTGAGGTTTTGGACAGCTGGCATCGACACAGGGGCTTTCTGTAAGAGCACATCCTCATCTCTCTGTTTGTATAAATACTGAGATTCCATGAGATTCCCTAAAGTGTCCATCATGTGAGATGGTAGAATTCCTTCTGGTGCATATCAGTTTGTATTAGAATCTTAGAATCATGAACACTCTGCATGGGAAGGGACCCACAAGGATCATTGATCCAGACCCCCAACAACCCCACCCTGTCCATCCCTGGCAGCGCTGTCCAAAGGCTCCTGGAGCTCTGGCAGCCTCGGGGCTGTGCCCATTCCCTGGGGAGCCTGGGCAGTGCCAGCACCCTCTGGGGGAAGAACCTTTCCCTGAGCTCAGCCTGAGCTGCCCTGGCCCTGCAGCCATTCCCTGGCTCCTGTCCCTGTCCCAGAGCAGAGATTGGAGCTGCAGCCCTGAGGAGTCTCCCCTCAGTGTCCTCTGCTCCAGCTGAACATTCCAAGTGCCCTGAGCCCCTTCCCCATCCTCGTGCCCCTCCTTGGTCCATCTCCAGCAGCTTTAGATCCATGTGACATTGTGGTGCACTCGAAGAGAGGCCACCCCAGAGCAGAGCTGGACAATCCCCTGCCTCACCCAGCTGGTGATGCTGGGCCTGGGGCACAACTCCTTGAAATGTGTAATTCTTGATGCACAACTTCTTAAACTCTTTCTTTCTACTCCTAAAATTAAGTCCTAAAATTACATCTCCTTTTTCTGTGTGTTACTTATTTTCCTTGTCATAAGCCATAAACTAAAGGGCACAATGAACGCACAATACAAAAGTATTTTATTTCATTTACCAGAATGTGAAAATTATCAGTAGTTGTGGCACATCAAAGTACAGGCAAACTATTTCCAGCAGCAGGATTATATGGTGGAGAAGCTGGACTTTCCAGGCATATCCAGCTGCAGTGTGCTGCTGGGAGAGTATCCAAGTTCCTGTGAAGAGCAAACCTTTGGATACAAGGGACTGGTGTCCCGTCTCTTTGGCTGCTTGTGTGCTTTAGGAGCAATGGGGTTAGTCTGGAACTTTCAGTTTTAGTGTTTGGGTATTTTAGCATTAAACTTTATGTCCTTCTGATGCCACAGGAGATATATGTTGGTCCTGTTGGAGTGACTGTAGGCATGAAGCAGATCAGATACTTTCTCCATCTAATTTTTGACAAATGTTTATTTCTGGCACGCTACCTCATTTTTAATCCAATAAGTGTTTTGTACAGCATTTGAGAATCCAAAGGAAAGGGTTTGGCAGGAGTGGCCTCGTGAGCATTGCTGATCCCTGGGATTTTTGTACCACTGGACCAAAGCACATGGGCAGCAACCACTGTTTGAGGGTCTTCAGTGACTTTCTTGGGACCAGAAATGCCAATTGCAGTGTAAAATTAAACCCACTTTGAAGATCAGTATAAGATCAATATAAATCCAGTTGGATCTTCTATAAAACTCTCTCCTGTAGCTCATATTGTGAAGTAATTTAGGCTTTGTTTACTCATTATGAAAATTCTGAATTGCTTTGTGGCCACAATTTCAGACCTGCTTCTTGCCAGAAGAGAGGCCTTATCCACACATATCCATCAGAATTCAGGCCTGGAATTCCCTCTCTGGGCATGTTAAGCTCTTGTTACAACTCCAAGGCACTCAGACTTTCTCTTTTTCCCCTTGAATTAATCCAAACTCCCCCTACAGTGGAGTGTCCTGTCTAGGATGCAGGTTCAAAAGTGGTTTTTTCAAGGGAAGTTCATGTTTTAAAGTGTTGTCTTTGTGTTTGCAGCTGCCAGTGTGAAGTGTCAGAAGAGAACAGTTGGAACTTTCTGGGACAAGAGAGGACTGCTTATTCTCTCATTCTTTGGTAAGATTAGCTCCTTGTTTGTGGATTCTGTGCTCATCATTGATTATTCTCTTAATTAAATCAAATGTTTCCCAAGATGTTAGATAAAAATTAGTATTTCACTGAGTTGGAGTTTGCAGCCTTTAATTATTGAAAAAGAAGGTTCCTGACTCTTAGTTGTGTCCAAGCTTCCAAGATGATTCTTTGTCCTGCTCCTATTCCTGAACAATGTGCAAATGTCCATGTTGTCAGCTGCTCTCCCAGTAAATCCTGGTGAGAGTCACTCAGTCCCTGCAGCCTGCACTGTCAGGAAAGAGGAGAAACCTCCCTGTCAGGGACTGAGACCAGGGAAACTGAGTGTTTATCCTTATCTCAGAAATTTCCTCCACCTGCCTAAGGAGGAGAAAAGTTTTCAGCTTGCAGCAGAAGCATCTTTTGCTCAAGGTACAGCACATTCCTGAATGTTCAATTCTCAAATTTTCTAATGTTCCTTTGCCAAAAAATTTGAATTCCAAGCTCAGAGGGCAGCTGTGCCGCTGTATGTAAACAGCTCAGGGGTCAGCTCAGTCTGATTTTGATATTAAAATACATGGAATTCAGTCTGGATGGAGAAGGTAAGGGAGCAAAATTAAATGCTTGGATTCTTCCTTTTTCCTTTTTTCCCTCTGGTTTTTTCTTTTCTATGCTGAAAGTCCAACTGCATCTAAATATACGTGAATCTGAACAATCCTTTATTTAGCTAATCTTTTTTGTTTAGATTCACTGGCAAACAGATGGTTATTGCTACTCTTAATTATGTACATAATTTAAACCAGAAGGTGCATCTGAAACAAAAGGTAATTAAGATGTTCCCATAGAAGCTGAGCAGAGTCTGAGGTTACAACCTTTGCTCATCATTTATCCTTTCAAGCAGAACATAAGGATGGAGAATTAACAAGACCATTCTCTTTTTTGACATAATTTAACACACATGGAGTTGCAGGTAAAAGGGCAGACAGTAAATTGATAACATCACCTTTTTTTTGGCCTCAGTCCTGACCAAACTCATTATTTGTACCAGTAAAACCAAGTTTTATTTCCCTGCTCTGTGTATAAGCTGGCTGCTATTTTTATGTGATCCTATTGATAAGGAGAAGCCTGAATTTAAGGCTGCTTTCCTGGCCAGGTTTTTAACTGAGCTGTGTTTGTACCTCCATTTCATTTCTGGAAAATGGTTTTTACTGTCAGGGCAGAACTGCAGATGAAGAAAATGAGAATTCTCCTTCCATTCTGCAGTCCTAAAAGTGGTGTGGATCAGCCTGAGGTCGGGATTGTGCAGCCCCTTGCTGCTGGAGTGGCTTTGTCCCCAGCTGTCCCTCGGAGCAGCACGGTGGGGAGGGTTCAGGAGTGCTTGGTGGAGTTGATGATATGAGGAATATTCTTACTTCCAAGGCTTCTAAAGCAAGAATTGCCCTTATGAGGTGGCAGCAGTCACTGGGAACCTCCTTCTGTTCCCGTGGGAAGAGTTTGGTAAACTGGGAATGGGTTAGAAAGCTTTGGGATAAAAGAAGTGTGGATTCACATGTGGTTTGGGCTGTCCTGAGCAGTGTGTGCTGCATCCCTGCTCCCAGAGCTGTTCCCTTTTCCTTTTGCTCAGCCCAGTGGCCTTGAGCTGCTGGAGGGAGCAGGCTCAGCTCGTGCATGTGATGGGAAAGGAATGATTTCTCTCCAGGTATTCACTGTCCAGCAGCTCAGAGAGCCTCACTGTAACAATTCAGCCTTTTTGCTATTTTTGTCAGCAATTTTCAGCATTCCTTTGGTGGCAGGGAAGTTGCTGAAGCGTTTCACTGATGCCCAGCAGCAGCCAGAGCAAAGTGTTTGCTTTAGAACCAGTCCTATAACTTCTTGTACCATTTATCTTGGCAGCATCACCCTTTGCATCTGATAGTCCTGATCCAAACTGAAACAGGCAGATTTTTTTTTCCACACAGCTTTCCTGAAATTCACCTTAAAAAGGAAGATTCTCACATGGAAAAAAACACACTGTCAACAGTAGAAACTGTTCTGCACTGATTGCAGGAGTTATACTGAAACTTGGTATTTTGGGTAGTCTCTGCTGGAGGTTTATGCTGGATTTTAGGAGCACAGCTGTAAGATATTTAAAAAGACTCAATTTTCTATGCTAATACTGGTTTTATTAATATGTAGGTGGTTATATAATAAACTTATAAATTACATATATCTAATCAAACTGAAGTATGAAATAATTTTTTCCAGCATAGTGCCTACTAAATTAAAGCTTTTCCTCAGAGATACTAAGCATGCTTCAAATTTATAATAAAGCAATTTTTTTAATTCAGTTGGTGTTTCTTTGATAATTGTGTATGAAGTTGCTGAAGGAGTTCCTTGAAATAACAAGGTATTTTTTATATCATACTATCCTGGAATGGTTTGGGTGGGAAGGGACCTTAAAATTCATCCCATGCCCCCTGTGCCATGGGCAGGGACATTTTCCACTGTCCCAGGCTGCTCCAAGCCCCATCCAACCTGCCAGGGATCCAGGGGCAGCCACAGCTGCTCTGGGCACCCTGTGCCAGGGCCTGCCCACCCTGCCAGGGAACAATTCCTTCCCAGTATCCCACCCATCCCTGCCCTCTGGCAGTGGGAAACCATTCCTCCTTGTCCTGTTGCTTGAAGCCCTCATCCTGAGGCCCTCTCCAGCTCTCCCAGGATTTTAAATCTACTTTTTGCATTAATTTTTGGTGAATCCATGGCAGTTGGAGCTCGATTCTGCTCATCATTTCCCCCTTTTATGTGAATATATTGACAGACACACCTATGTGAGGATACTTGATGAGCAGCTGCTGCTCCTTTGCCCTCTGTCAGTATTCCATACCAAGCACAGGATGTGTCCGGGGCTCCCTGCAGTGCTGGGAGCTGATGGTGTGAAGTGGTTTTCTCTGTCAGCCTCAGTACTGATAATTTGAAATACATTTATAAGTTAAAAGAGATATGAGCTTTGGATGTGAGCTGAGAACTGACTGCACTCATGTGTTCTATTTTCATTTGTAAGTTTTGTGTGCTGCAGTCTGCAAACCCCAGAAATACCTGAGTGAATCTTGCTTGAGTAGAACAGGGAAGAACTTACCTGCATTAAAAAAGCTGAGTGTAAAATCAATCTCAAACCCAAATTGTAACTCCTGTATTACTTCAGTCATTAAGTTCTTAACTGGGTGATTTGTGTAAACCTCAGGACTGTGTTAATATTCCCAGAAAATTTGCAGATGATCAAAGCTTGGGGGTTGTTGGGTAGTGGAGAGAGCAAGTCCCCAGTGTAATGATCTGGAACTCTTGGAAATGTCAGTGCAGGAAAATGCATATTTTGGTGCATCCATGGATATCCAAAATCAGCCAGAAGTATAAAATGAGGATTTTTATCCCAATAAGAACTCCAGTTCATGTGCCATAGTTGAAAGAAGCTTGTTCCAGGAGGACCCAAACCCTGTGTTCCACACCAGATCAGCCCCAAGGATCCCTTTGGATTTGTGTCCCACGGATTTCTGATTCACCATCTGCAGGCAGCTTGGGAGAAAATTCCAGGGTATCCAGAAAACTGAACATGTTTTAATTTAAATTATATAAACACTGGTCTAATTGCTGCCTTCAAACAGGTGTTCTCCCAGCAGCACATCCAAAGGTAATTTTTCAGGATGAACAGAAGGAACCAGACACATTTTGAAACAATTTTGGCTCTCAGGAGGGAGAGCTTCCCTAGATTTCATCTTTTCATAATTACTGTTTGCTCTCAGTTTTCTAACAGCTACATTCACAGTCTTTAAAAGTTAATTTGTATTTATTTGCTAAAAGAAAATGAATCTTATTTCATCATTATGCTTTCCTGATTTTCTAGATTTTAGTAAGTGAAGAGCTCAAAGTATTACAAGTAAAGACGAGGATTCCTCCTCCTGCCCAGGGCCTGTCATGGTAAGCAAAGGGGCTTTGTATGATCTGTGACAGAGCAGAAGAGTTTAAAATGGGAAAGACATTAGGCAGCTAATGTTTACATGTGGGATTGTTGAGTTTTAGGCATAGTGCTAATGCTTTTTCCTAATGTTGCTATAAATCTCGCAGCTTTTAATGACTTTATTAATCAGGCTGTAGGAAGGAAACTGGTTGCTAATACCAAATTTGTTTTCTGAGGGCCCATGTTGGAGAGTTTAGAAACTAAATGTAGTGAGTTACTGCTCCTGGAATTCTCTGAACACTTCCTCCTGTGGGAGCTTTTCCTTGACTGTGGGTGGTTGGGGAAGGTGGCAGTAGGTGCCAGTGCTGCCCGTGACTGTCACACTTTGTTCCTCAGGATGAAGAGACTCAGCACAGCCTTGAATGCATCCAGGCCAATCAGATTTTTCCCAGGAAGCAGCTGATCCGAGAGGATGAGAACCTTCAGGTAATCACCACACTGCTCCTGTTCAAATCCCGTTGCCTCCAGTTGGTTGTGGATTCTCTGGCCTCTCCTCTAGAATTTTAATTCACAGGTAGCACAGAAAATCATTTTCTCTGGTGGTGGGACAGAGAACTTTGGCATTTTATTACAAGAAATTCCTTCAAGTGTCTGAAAAATAGCACTGCTCCCTGTTTACTGATTCCAAGGGTAGGGTTTTATTCCATAGTTTAGAGCTCTGTTTTGAAAAAGCACCACTAAGCTGATTAAACACTGCCTTGGCCCCTGGTTGTTACAAAGCCAGAAGTCTTCTGTTGCACAAAAAGATACTCTTACATTTCTTTGTTTTCCAAAGCTCGTTTTGAAATCAGTTTAGTTCAAATGATTTACCGTAGAATAATGGAATAGTTTGGGTTAAAAAGGACTTTAAAGCCCATCCAGTGCCCCCCCAGCCATGGCAGGGACACCTCCCACTGTCCCAGGCTGCTCCAAGCCCCAGTGTCCAGCCTGGCCTTGGGCACTGCCAGGGATGCAGGGGCAGCCACAGCTGCTCTGGGCACCCTGTGCCAGGGCCTGCCCACCCTCCCAGGAACAATTCCTAATTCCCAATATCCCATCCATCCCTGCCCTCTGTCAGTGGGAGCCATTCCCTGTGTCCTGTCCCTCCATCCCTTGTCCCCAGTCCCTCTCCAGCTCTCCCTGGTGCCTTCTGTTCTCCAGGTGAGCCCCCCCAGCCTGACTGTCCATATAGACACTCTTGCATCAACTGAAGAGTTTCATTGTAATACAAAGTATTTTTATTTGATTCAAGCTACTTTGGTGTAAAAACAGATCACTTTCAAGGTGGGCATTTTCACTTTCCACTCAGCTCAGTTAAACTGGGCTTAAGTCACATTTTAATTAACCAGTGGCAGTTTCCATGTGTGGTGTAATGAACTGCAGGTTTCTGACTTTATAAAGCAGAAGATACTCGTGCATTTTCATATTTACTGTGAGAAATAGGGAGCAAAAAGTTTGGTTTGTCCAAGCTCAGCTTTGTAGCATTTAGGGATCCAGCCTAGGCTGGTTACCTGAGCTTGCTGGGTGAATAGTGGGGAAATAGCAGGGAACATTATTCATCCTGGATGTTTTGCCTACTTTAGGATGAATTTAATAACATTATGGAAATGCCACTCTCCATTAAGTAAGGAGTGAGAGCATAAATCAAAGGCGTTGTCAGCCTGCTTGCCAAAATGTGAGGATATTTTTCATAAAAATTCATTGCTTTCCCTGACCAGGCACTTACCACTCAGGAAAAGTAACATAAAATAAGGGATCATTTAAGAAAAAGGCTGCAATTAACCTCAGAGCCAACCTTACCTGATATTCCTTCTTAGCAGCAATAACAGGGCTGAATTCTGGGCAGGCTTTGTTTGATTTCTTGTGCTGCAGGAGGGGCAGGTTTTTGGGAAATGGTGTCTGGAATGAGATTTTTGCTGCCTTTCTGCAGGTGCCGTTCATTGAGCTCCACGGGGAGAGCACAGAGTACGTGGGCCGAGCAGAGGATGCCATCATTGCCCTTTCCAACTACAGGCTCCACATCAAATTCAAGGAATCTGTTGTGAATGTGAGTGTTCTGATCTCAATGGAAATAGCAGAATTTGGGATAAGGGTACAGTGATCCCCCCCTTTTAAGAATGAAAAAACTTTTTCAGATGTTCAAATCGATTTTTCAGTGACAATAAATACGTATTTGGGCACCAAAGGGTGGCTCAGCAGCTCTGAAAATCAGATGTCATATGGAAATGTCACATCCCTCAACCTTCACACCTGGCTGTATCAGCCACCTGTTGTCCCCAAGCTCAGTGGGGACAAATAGTCTTCCAAGGGGCTTTTGGAGCACGTAAACCTGATTTGTGCCTTGCTTGGAGCTTCAGAAGGTGGGAGTGGGTCCAGCTGCTGAAGTTCTGTGCCAGATATTGAGTGGTTTGAGTGCAGTTTTTGATGTAACAGGTCAGGAGTAGGACCTCACCTTCAATGCATTTCTTGAGGGAGTTTTATTCCAAATGTCTATTCCTTGAAATGGTTCCGTGTCCACCTCCTCTGGTGCCAGGCACAGTTAAATGGGTGTTGGACAGTCCTGGGCAGTGCTTGGTGCTCACACAGACCAGTCTCACCAGCTGGGGACACTTCCAGTGTGGAAATCAAGAGTGTCCTGAGGAATGCCAGGCAATAATGGAGTTGCTTTATTAGAGCATGAACTGCACTTCCTGTCCTTAGGACAGTTAGGGATATTGCTTTATAGGGATTTTCAATATTTTTGAGCATAGCAAGAATTGATGTTTTTTTCAAATCACGTTCCTTGATTGTGTTCAGGGAAGAGTCCACAGAAGCTTGTGAATATTCCCATGTTCATTTTTCTTCCCTGACTTTCACATGCAGTGTTCTGTCCTCTCATTCTGTGTGATATCTCATTATCATCAGCATCATTAACCAGGAATAATCAGAGTATGAGGTAGAGCAGAATATAAATAATTCTTTGTAACCATATATGACTGTCACTAATAACTTCCTAAGAACTCCACTGAAATCCAGGGCAGGGAGGGCTTGGGATGTCTTTAAGGATAAAACATTCTTCAGTTATTAAGAACCACATTTAAATAATTAATTTTGGTAGTAGTAATCCTTTTGGTTATTGTTGACCAAAATTCTTGTTCAGATGGTGATTTTCTCACTCAAATCTTCACTGAGTAGTTTTTGATTGAGTTCATCTTGATTCTTTCCTGCTGTTTTTATGTCACCACAGCTGTTCAGCAAATACCTGCAAGAGATTCTTCATTCCTGGGCTGTGGCTTTTCCCTCTTGTTTGGTTACAATTCCCTGGCTGTGAAAATGGTCTTGTGACACCTCAGTGAGCAGCACAGATCACCTGGGCTGGGAAAGAAATCCATTCAAACTTGTTAATGTTCCCATTGCAACAGTGCAGAAAGGGGCTGTGTGTGGAGATCTTTCCCATGGGTAATTTCCTAGATCTCACTGCTAATAGGAACACGGTGTTTCAAATGCAAAAACAAAAGGTTCCACAGACCATGCATAAATTGGGGGATTAGGACATTCAGGGGTGTTGACTTACATTTATCCACGGGATAAAAGTGCAGACTCAACAGGGATCTCTTGGTGCATGAGGGAGGTTTGGTTCCCAGGCCCAAATCTATTGATTCCTTAAGAAAATGTCAGACTTTGCAGCTGCTGAGTGTTTCTGTCTAATCACTTTCCTCCCTGTAAGCTAATTGCATTGATGGGAGAATTAACATTTAGTGGAGTTTGTGGAAGCATGGATTGCATGTAATCTCTTTCCAATGGTGGATTTTGGACCCAGTACCAAAGGAGTGTCATGATGGGGGGGAATTTGATGAGGAGCTGAGTTTTAGTGAGAGCTTCCCCTTGCTTGGAAAAATGGTTGGATTGGGATATTCCTCATGTCCATGGCTACTGTGGTTCATCCCTGCTGGAGAGTGGCATAATCCTCGTCTTGTCCTCGGGCCCTGCTGCCCAAATTCTTCACACTCAGAGCACAACAATTGTGAGACAAGAGGGGACTCAGAGGTGGCCTTCAAGACAAATCCAAGGTGTCATCAGCTGTAATTAAAAGCAAAATTTACTTCAGACACTCCTTGTGGGTTCCATGAAGCCAGGGGGGGTTTCAGCTCCCTCCAGGCTGCAGCCATTGGGAGCTGTCCTTGCACCCTCAGTGGCTCCCTGTGCCACCTCATCCCACGCTCCAGGACGCCCAGCCTTGGCCTTGTGCTTGTTAAGGCCACCAGCCAGCACCAAAACCCTGACATGATTCCAGCTCTGAGCTGGGAAAATGAGGAGGAAATCCCAGTTCCTGCTCCCATGGCCTGGGTGCCACGAGAGGTCCTGGAGAGGTTTGGGCCAAATGGGCACAGGGAGGGTCTGTAGCAGGGTCACTGGTGCTTGCAGCAGCCTGCCTGTGACCCACTGCATCCCACTGGGAATTGTGGGCATGGATTGGGCTGTGGGGGGGTTGTTATAGCACTGAAAATGTAACTTGTGCTTTTTCTAGCTACAGAGCTGTAATTCTCTAAATATATCTTGTACTGCTCTTAGATAACAGACAGCTCCAGTCATCAAAATAATTTTAAAAACCCCTCAAAAAAAAAAAAAGTTGGAGTTATGGAATGTTGCTGTTATTTAAAATGAGATAATTTTAAATAAGAGACAGTGGGGAGATACTGCAAGAGCAGGATGCTCCTGTACTCCCTGTAATGGGATGTAATTTGCCTCAGATAACAATGCATGTTTATTCTTATAAAAGCAAAAATGATTGCTTTCCCTGCCTGGTTTCCATGCCATTATTAGAGGGAAGTGCCTGCAGATAGAATTGATGGCTCTTCCAGGAACGGGCTCTGGGTGTCGGACTGGCACAGCCTGAAGGATGTGCAGTGGGAAGGGAAGGTTATCAGGGAGGGAGGGAATGACAGGAGATAATTCCACAGAGCTTTGCTGGGGGAAGAATAATGGCCAGGAAGGAGATTGAAAACACAAGAGGACTACAGGAGAGATTTTTGTGACTGGGAAGGAAAATTAAAAAGATTAATGAGAAGGTTGTCCTGCAGAAAAAGCTGCAGATTGTGAGGGAATCACAGGTGGGCTGGTGGAGGGGAATGGATGGCTGGGGAGCAGAGGGCACAGGGAAAGGGCAGGGAACAAGGAGTGACTTTGGAAGAAGGAAATTAAAAATAATGCAGGAGGAGAAGAATTAGTTTGTCATTAGAGTGCAGACAGAAAGAAGAGGAGCCACAAGCAGAATGCCAGGAGGAGGGAATAGGTGGAGAACTGCTTAAATGAAGATGAACATGAGAAAAAACAGAGTAAAACAGGGATTGGGGAATAAAAAGATAGCAGACAAAGCAGCACTGGACTTAAAAAGCAAGTCTGGAATTTGGATTCAGCTGGGAAAGATGCCTTACTTTCCATTTTGGTGCCATTTAACTCAGTGGTAGATTTAAATAAGTTATTTTAGAACCATTTAAGTTGGAAAAGCTCTCCCAGGTTATCGAGTCCATCCTGTGCCCAATCCCCACCTTGTCCCCAGCCCAGAGCACTGAGTGCCACATCCAGTCCTTCCTTGGGCACCTCCAGGGATGGGCACTCCAGACCTCCCTGGGGAGTCCCTGCCAAGGCCTGAGCACCCTTTCCGTGGAGAAATTCCTCCTGGGAGTTATTAGTAGGTCTGTGTGGGGCTGTCCAGTCATGCAGACAGACTGGAAAGTTCTCCAGTCTGAGCTCCATTCCTGTCCATTGATCAGACAAAACTGTGACAATTTCCCTGCCTGGCAGACTGGGGTCAAGCAGGAGGAGGCTTGGAAGGAATGAGCAGGTGAAATGCAGGGATCAGCTGTGGAACAGAGCACTTGCTGTGGTCTGTGCTGCACTTCAGTGCTGCTGCTTTCCTGGAGTCAGCCACAGTCAGGCTGAGCTTAGGGAGGGCACAGAGGGGCTCTCACAGGAGGGATTCCTCATTTCCTGCCCCCTTCATGTCACTGCTTCTGTCACAGATCTCAGCCAGTGACAGTGCTGAAAACACAGACAGAAATTCAAGTTCCAGCTTTATTTAAAATCCACATTTGACTACACAAACTACTGGGCTGTGGAGTCAGACACCCTCTTGCCAAGACCTGTCCATGGGTTTTCTGTCATTTAATCTCCAGTTAGAACAGAAGGAGCAGAGCTGGGCACAGCAGGGGAGAGTAGGTGGCTCCAGAGCTGCCTCTGGCTCTGGTCTGACGTGGCAAGGGAAAGGCTGAGCATCAAAAAATCCCTGCCTGTTGTACCTGGGGGCTGTGAGCTCTGGGCAGCGATTTGAGAACGCTCTGGGCTCTGTCTGGGGTGCTGTCCTGAGCTGTGCCTGCCTTCCCAGAGCCAGCAGAGCTCTCATCCCTCTCCTGGGCTCAGCATCTGCCCTGAGCTCGCTCCAGGCATCTCCCTGCTCAGAGGAAGTTTTCCCTTGGTTTGTATTTTTGAGATACCTCTTTTCCTTGCCTGCTGGTTTTAGTTAATTTCTTTTTTTTCATTCCACCTCAGTGAGGTATTTTTTGAGCTTTGTGGTGCCTGAGAAGAAGCTGTCTTGATTACTTATCCTGAAGCTTTGGTTGGAGGTGACCTTCAAGGGCTTGGCCTTCTAATTTTCATTAGAAAATTAGAAAAATTAACTAAATTTTTTTTTTTCATTCCACCTCAATGAGGTATTTTTTGAGCTTTGTGGTGCCTGAGAAGAAGCTGTCTTGATTCCTTATCCTGAAGCTTTGGTTGGAGGTGACCTTCAAGGGCTTGGCCAAGCATGTGGAGAAGCCTGGCTCTTCCAGGCCCCAAGCCAGACCTTAAACTGCTGGATCTTAGTCCTGTGATGGCAAAAATCAGAGTCTTGGAATGTTACTAAAGGATAGCAGAGGTTTATTGCCTTGTGCAATGGCCATATAATCTACTGAACAATTCAAACAGCTTTGTGCTTCACGTTAATTACAGGTATTATCTAAATTCAGACAGTTATTTATGACTTCTGTTCATTGAAGGCAATAATGTACATTTGCCCATCTCAGGTAAAGTTCCAAAAGTAATACTGAAAATTAATATTTTCATCTTGTGGGTTTTCTCATCTTTAAAGGTACTTGCATGTGCTCTCGTGTGTTGCCTGACCAACCTGCTGCTGGTTACACACACCAGGAAACAGAAGTGTCTATAACTACACTTTAACTGGGAAAGATTCAGCATTATCACTCTAAATTTGGCTGCTTCCATTACATGTGTTGCTCTAAACAGGCCAAAGGGTTTTTCCCTGAGGAGGAAATACTGGATATTGCCATAGAAAAACATCCAGACTGCAGCAATCTGTTAAGGGGATCTTGCTTAGCTGTTCTTTTTGAACACCATCAGCTAAAAATACATTAAGATTCCTAAATTTAGACCTATAAGAGAGAAAACTGCTTCCATGAGAGAGGAGCTGGAGCTTCTGCTGCCTTTCCTGCAGCCTTCTCAGGTGCTCCCATGGGATCCCTTAAGGCTTTTGGACTCCACAGGACTGGAGCTGGAATGCGAACACCTGGTACCAAACCTCAGAGCTGCTGAAGTAATTCCTTGTGGATTCATTTGCTTTCCTCTCTTCAGACTTCATGTAGCCTGCAATAAATCCTTGTGAGATATGCAAAGAAACTGCTGTTAGTGCTGCAGAAATGAAATAATCTGGTGTGTTTTATTGCAGGTTCCATTGCAGCTCATTGAGAGTGTGGAGTGCCGGGATATATTCCAGCTTCATTTAACTTGCAAGGACTGCAAGGTTATCAGGTAGGAGAGGCTCAGTGTTAAAGTGGGGGGGAAATTTACTTTCCACGTGCCATGGGCAGCTGGGAATGGTTCAAGGAAATGGGGTTTCTTGATTTCCCTCAGAAGCTTTTTATTTTGTCTGGTTTTTATACAAGGAGGGCTGTGTGTCTCACTGTTGTGATTCAGGACAGCAGCAAACCTTGCTGTGAGCTCACATGGCTGATCTTGGTTTTGTTCTGAAATTAATTTCAGTCTCAGTGTGTTGTCCCTGCTTTGCAATCAGTTAGAATACATAGCTTCAATACATTATAGTTATATCAATATTTCCATATCAATAGGTACAGAAGTAGATAGAGCAACTGATACACACATTGCAAATGAGTTTTATCAAGATTTGGGGTTTGGAGGCTTCACCCACCCTGCATTCTCAACACCTTTGAGAGTACAGTCACTATCCTTGAGGCATGGTAACCTCCTGGGAAAGAAAATGAGGGCATAAGGGAAGAGAAAGTGAAGGAAGGTGGTAAATCCAGGTGTGCAGGCAGCAGTAACTCCTGGCTGTCCTTCCCCACGCTCCAGGGCTCTCTGAGCAGTCCACCCTGAGCTGCTCCTCGCTGGGGTTTTTGTGAAAACTTTTCCGCTGAAGAAATTAATTTTGATCTATGAACTTTAATTAAGAAGAAAGGAACATTTCTTTTTGATTAAATGTTTGCTGGCTGTACCTTTTGTGTAATGAAAGGAGCCCCAGCCATCTCGGAGCACTCAGAATGTTTAACAGGTCAGCTGCTTCCTGAAAGGCTGTTTTTTCACCAGGACTGATTTTACTTTAGAGGTAATATTTAGTTTAATTTGAATTCAATGTTTAACTTCCTCTTCACTTGTAGCTCTTGACATTTAAGAAAGTCACCCTTCTTCCCACATTAATTTGTTTTTTCCCTTAAATTGTAGAATGAATACAAATTATTTGTATTTTTGCCACCCATATCAATTTTCTCTCAAAATTGCATCTCCAAGACTGAGGACTTGGTGATGGTTCTGAGATGGTGAAGTTTGGGACTGAGACAGAAGGGTTAGAATATATTCTTGTTCTTTTTCATGAGCAAGCTTTGTATTTTGAGAATAGAATTCAAATGGAGATAATACTTGTTATTTACACCACTAACTTCAAAAGAATTTAGGAGGAATTTAGGGTGAGATGTATCTTGTCTGAGTGTGGATGTTTAATAGAGAATTATCCTGTCTCAGTGAGTAGTCTGGGCTTGCTTTACAGTCAGTGATGGGAAATAAATAAACACCTCAGGCTGCAGTTCCTCACAGCTCTAGGGAGATGTTGGACATGGCTTTTCCCTTCCACGTTGTGGCTCTGAGCTATTTGCAGGTAGGGGAGATAAATCTGCCCCGAGGGAATGCAGATGCCATCATTAACCAGGACTGAGCCGAATGGAAATACTTGGGCAATATTTAATAGCTATAAAATCTTAAAGAAAAACATCAGAGCAAAATAAATCACTGGTTTATTTCCACTCTTTTACTCTAAAGAGTCCAGGAATCCTCTTTGAAAAGAAAAGCTAAAGTAATTTTAATGCACTGCGTTGAAGATTGGTTTCTCCTGTGTAGGGAATATTCTCTCTGCTTGTTGTTAGTCTGTAACATTGGGCAAAGCTCAGTCAGTGCTTCCCAACAAAGACAACAAAGAAAGAGGAGGGTTTCAAAAGCACCTTAAAACCCATCTCATTCCACCATGGGCACCATGTCCTGCCATGGGCAGGGACACCTTCCACCAGCCAACAAAGAAAGAGAAGGGTTTCAAAAGGACCTTAAAACCCATCTCATTCCACCATGGGCACCATGTCCTGCCATGGGCAGGGACACCTTCCACCAGCCTACATTGTTCCAAGCCCTGTCCAGCCTGGCCTTGGGCACTGCCAGGGATCCAGGGGCAGCCACAGCTGCTCTGGGCACCCTGTGCCAGGGCCTGCCCACCCTGCCAGGGAACAATCCCTTCCCAATATCCCATCCATCCCTGCCCTCTGGCAGTGGGAAGCCATTCCCTGTGTCCTGTCCCTCCATCCCTTGTCCCCAGTCCCTCTCCAGCTCTCCTGGAGCCCCTTCAGGCCCTGCAAGGGGCTCTGAGCTCTCCCTGGAGCCTTCTCCTCTCCAGGTGAGCACTCCCAGAATAGGCTCTGCTAGCCTGTTCTTGTTTACAGGACTGTGGTTATAGTATGTATATAGTATATATATAGTATATATATATATATACTATATAGTCTATATTAGTATAGTATATTAGTATATATATTCGTATACTATATTAGTATAATATAGTACATATATTAGTATAGTTATATATATTACATATATAGTATATAGTATATATTATATATATACTATATAATAATATATATAATATACTATTATATATACTACAGCTATAATAGTATAATTCTATGATGTAGATTACAATGTGTGGGATAGTTTTCTGAGTTTCCCCCTGATCCAGCAGTCAGAAGGGGCTGTAACACATTCCTGTCTTTGACCTGCATGATCTTTTCTTGGTTTTATATGTAGCACATGGAGAAATGTCCCCCTTATTCCTGGCAGGGCACACCCTGGTTATTCCCAGTCCCAGAATGTTGCTGCTCAGTCAGTCCTGACTCCTTAAGTGTTTCTTTACTCATTCCACAGGTTTCATTTTATTTCCCGTTAGAGTGCACATGGAAGCAGAACTAAGTTGTCAATAAGGTGTTTATCCTCACTTTGAACTCTCACAGAGCTTTTCATGCTCAGCCTGTCACCTTCTAGAGTGGCTTCTCCTACTGAAAGTCACCCATGGGATGTTTGTCTCTGGGCCAGGTGTCAGTTTTCCACCTTTGAGCAGTGTCAGGACTGGCTGAAGAGGCTGAACAATGCCATCCGCCCCCCGTCCAAGATAGAGGACCTGTTCTCCTTCGCCTACCACGCCTGGTGCATGGAGGTTTACGCCAGTGAGAAGGAGCAGCACGGGGACTTGTGTCGGCCAGGTACGTGGGGACAGCCTTGGGATCACCAGAGCAGCACCTGGATATCCCCAGGGAATTACTGGGGTGGGTTTGAGTCAGTCAGTCAGGTGTGGAACCAGCAGCATTTCGTTCACCACTGCAGCAGATTTCAGTCTAAGCCATTCTGGGTTGATTGTCACATTTTTGTCTGGAACACTGATCTCCAAGATGGATGTTGGGGAAGAGAAGGGAGCCTCTGAGCTACTCCTGGGTTCATTCACAGCCACAGGCAGTGATCTTTTCCAGTGGAATACCATTCTTGCTGCAGGGCTGTTGAAGCCCACAAGTAAATAAAAGCTCAAGCTTGGCATGCTGGTGGTTGTAGCACTTGGTTGAGTATAAGAAATCAGATTTCAGGCACTCTGTGATCTCCTGTCAGTCACAATTCACTGCCTCAGGGAAGTGTCCCAGTTACCAGGCTGAGAGATGTTCCTGGGATTCTGTCCTTGCTGCTGAATCTGCTCTGGAGCCTGGCACAGGCTCTCGTGTCTGTGGTGTCTGGGGAAGAGCAGGGATCACACAGTGGCAGGAGGGGTTCCCTGGCCCTGTTCCTGTTCACACACTCCATTAGCAACTTCTGGAAAATGCCAAAAATCTCCTCAGAGCAGAGTTTCACACCCAGGGCTTTTCCCTCTTTACTAAATTTGGGAAATGGGAGCTGGCAGATGTATGGAAGTCTTGCTGAGTCTCCTCTTCCTTGCTGAAACAGAGAGACTTCAGTCTGATGCTGGATTAGGATAATCATGGAATGGTTTGGGTTGGAAGGGACCTTAAAGCACATCCCATTCCACCCTTTGCCGTGGGCAGGGACATCTTCCACTAGACCAGGTTGTTCCAAGTCCAGCCTGGCCTTGGAATCTTCCAGGGACAAGAGGCAACGTTTACCATTTTATTAATTCTTATCAATCAAATTTTTTTTCTTGCAGCTTTGTCTATCAAATAATTTTCTTTAATGTAACTTTATCTCCCTGTAGCTGCCTGTGGCTGGGGGTAGATATTCTCCTTCAAAGAGCTGAATTATAGCTGAAATAAATCAGTGTGAATGTCGTTGAAGAAGTCAATCCCAAGACATTGTCATTTCTCTTCTACTTCCAAGGAGCCCATTATTTGGTATATACAGACAAAAGTACTGAAGTGCTTCAAAATCCATCCAAGTGTCAACAGAACACATTTTCTGGGAAAAATATGTTAGCAGTGTCTATAGCAGAGATCCAGGCTGTGGCTCAGAGGGTCGGCTTTAATAGGAAGCACAAGCCCACAAAATACCCAGCTTGCTTTCCCTGGGATTTTGAGAGTGGGTTGGGATGCTTCTAAACATTACCAGTGTTGGCTCAAAGTGCCTCTTAAAATACCAGCAACTCAGGAGAAATGGACAAAATATTAAGGTTGGGGTTTTGTTTCCAAGAGGCAAACCTGTGGCTGCACAGTAGCTAAAAGTTGAGAGAGAAAAATCAAACAGAATCTATGATTTTCATGTAGCTTTATGTGTTTCTCTTAAAACCCCCAGGCTGAGCAGCACTGATTTGGGATAGTTCCAGTATTCTCATTTGCTATCCAGAAAAATCCTTAAGGATGTAGCACAAGTTTTAAGGAGCAGCTGATAGGGAAGCCCATTCTTGTGGTGCTCCAGTAAAAGAATTTGTGGGATTTTTAAATTTAGAAAGTCACTGCTAAGGACAAATCTGGCAGAGATTTTTGCCTGCCTGGAATGTGTTTTCCAATTCCACCTCTGCTCTTGACAATGGATCTTTATAACACTGTAGTTTATTAAGTCCTGTAATTAGGCTACTGTCTGTATTCTTAATTTACCTCTTTATATTTATTTCTAATTGTCCTGTAAAATGGCATTAAAAATAATTTCAGACATGTGCATTTACATCTTGGATTTAAACATGTATCTGTAGATATCTGGGGGATTGAAAGGCTTTAAGGGTTTTCTACAATATTTAATGGAGAGATGTAATACTTAAAGCATTAATTTTTCAGCAGATTTTTCCCCCCTTGGGTGCTGCTCTGCCTCAGGATTTAATGCTGCAGTAATTTAAAGAGACAAGCAATGGATGAACTTTCAGATTCACTTATCTAGTGCTGCTCACATGCTCATTAAATTTAGCACTTTTCTTAGCCCTGGAAACCTGGAAATTTTGTCTCATTTTCTAGACTTTGTGTCTTCTTATTCTTTATTGCCATTGTATATTTTTCAATTGTATTTTGAGACTTTAAAACAAAAGTGTCTAGGAAATAAATGGGGCTCATTCCACTTCCTTTAATGTATCAATCCAGGAGATTGTGAGGCTCTTGTGACTGATATTTGTGTCAAACAATCATTTATGCGTTCTACCTCTCTATCTCCACATGACTCACAGAAGAATAATGTCCAATTTATGATGGAAAACTGAGATGCAGGACAAATGACAGCACTTGCCTCCAGCCATACAGGAAACCTGGGGCTGGAAATGCATATTCAAAGGATTGCCCACGTTCCAGGGCACATTCCAGGTCTTAACCTTTTTCACCAGAGCCTCACATTCTTCTCATTGATAGAAAATTGTTCTGAACTTCCAAACATCCCACTTGGATTGCTGATGGATCTCAGTTCCTTTGCTGATGTCCATGGTTCTGGTCTGCAGCGTTGCTTTTTAATACGAATTTCCAGAAGTTGGTAATTTCAGGGTAAAACTCCTTGTTGGACTCTGGCATTTTTGGAGAGCTGGCCAGGGAGAGATGTCAGTGCCAATGTCAGAATGAGGCTGTGAAATGCACCGGGTGGCTTTGGACTGAAGGTTGTGCTGCTTTTCTCTGTTCTGCAAAGTAGGAATCCTAATTCCTTACTTCCCATTCATTTTCCCCTGTGCTCTTGGTCCCCAGGAGAACACGTAACTTCCAGGTTTAAGAACGAAGTGGAGCGGATGGGGTTTGATATGAACAATGCCTGGAGGATTTCCAACATCAATGAGAAGTACAAGTGAGTGCTGGGGCTGCTGCTCCACAGCCAAACTGCATCTCAAAACACTCAGTTACTGGAACTTTTTTCAGCTTCTAAGTTCCCAAGAAGGGACAATCAGAATTATGATTTTTTGTTGGTTTATAGAAAAAATGTGCTTTAAATTATTTAATGTTTTATTAGCTGCTACAGTTTTTTAGGCTTGGAAATGCCAGGTTTTGGTGTGGCTAATTAGAGAATAAGCATTCTAAGGGAGGTTTTAAGTGAGCAAAGAGTGGAGTTTGACTTTTTAAGACTTTTTTTTATTGTTTCTTATTATCTAAGTACAAAGACATGTATTAAAAAAAAAAAAAAAAAAGAAAGATGTTTTGAAGAGTTAGATTTGTAGATGAATAAGTAAGAGAAAATGCTTTCTGAGATACTCAGAGAGCAGACAAAAGCCCTGTTCAGGCTCTGGGGCAAAGGAGGGTGCTCTGTGATTCCCAGCTGGGGGGACAGGGTGTTCTGGCTGATCCCTGCTCCAGCTCATAGCAAACCCTGCTGGAACACTTTGTGATGGAGCAATTGGAGTGCTCTGCCTGTGCAGGATAATGACTCCCAGCTGGGGGCTGGTGTCCCTGCAGGAGCAATCTCTGCTTTGGCCTCTGCAAGTCAGAGGGAAGGAGAAAAAGGCATCCCTCCATATTTAATGCTGGAGAAAGGGAGTTTATTAACATCCAGGGAAGCAGGAATTGTCAAAAAGGCTGTCAGGTTCCTCCAGTGCTGCCCTGTGCACTCTGGGAAGCCTGGAGCTGCTCCATAGCCCTGGCTTTGCTCCCTTTCCCCCAGGCTGTGTGGCAGTTACCCCCAGGAGATCATCGTGCCCGCCTGGATCACGGACAAGGAGCTGGAGAGCGTGGCCAGCTTCCGCTCCTGGAAGCGCATCCCTGCCGTGGTGTACAGGTGAGGAGCAGCTGCAGCAACCTTCCCCAGGCTGGAAATGGGAAGTCCTGGCAAGGAAAAGCTGGAGTAACTCATAGCTGGGAGTTCTGGGAGGTGCTCAGGCTGCTCTGGGTAAGGCAGACTCTCCGCGTGTGCTCTGAGTGGGAATAATGGGTTGCATTTAGAATTCCAAGCACACACTGGAGGAGCACTCAGCATTTGCATCTCCTGCAAATCATTCCTGGGGCAGTCACCCCAGTTAAGATTGATTTTTAACTTTTCTTAATATGAAAATGAAAAAATGGGAAATGAAGACATCAGAGGAGAACTGATAAATGGCCTCCCTGGCTGGGAACTCCTTTGGCTTTTCCCTGACTCATCTGGCTGATTCTCAGACTGCAGTATAAACAAGGACAAATACCAAAATTACTTGAAGGAGATCTAAAACTGAGATTAAAAATTAATGTACAGTTTAGCCCTATCTCCATATTTTAGATAGTTTTAATTACACAGACCCTTCCTTAGACTGAATCCAGCAATTCTTCATAATAAAATTGCATATCTGTGAAACTGGGTTTTGGCAGGTTCTTTAGTAAGAAATACATTGCAGCATCTGTTTTTCCAAATATTTTTAATTTTGTAGATATTTGGTGGCTGCCCCATCTCTGGAAGTGTCCAAGGTCAGGTTGGACAACCTGATCTAGTTGCCTCGGAGCATCGTGATCTTGTGAAAGGTGTCCCTGCCCATGGCAGGGGATGGAGTGGAATGAACTTTAAGGTCTCTTCCCACCCAAACCATTCCATGGTCCAATAAACCTGTCACTTAATACCATGGCCCCTTCCCTGGGGTGGTTATCCTCCCATAAATCTTTAAAATCTCTTTAAAGCATCAGATGACAAAGGGATTAAAAAGTTAATGAATACTGATATTCCCTAAGCCTGGACACCCATTCCTGCTGAACACGGGGAGCAGGAAAGCTGGCAGGTCCTTGAAGCTTGTGTCAGAGGAGCCAAGGGCAGGAGAGCTGTAGACCACAAAACTCTATTTACTGAGCTTAAGGGTTCTTGTTCAGTGAAGGCAGAACAAATTGGCTCATGGCAGCAAACCATTACCTTTAAATCCTGCTGTCTTTTTTCCTTTTCCTCCCAAACAACAAAGGGGTTTAGTGTGGTCTCTTTTGGAATGGTGAGGGGGTTGTTCTCTCCTTTGCTCAGCTCTGGGAAGGGGAAAATGCTTTCCAGCATATGCTGACTTTTAAAAACCTGGGTATTTTATTATTACAGTACTAAATGTGTGTGTATATATATTATATATATGTCTAAAGGAGAATAATATGATTTATATGTGGTTTTGGCTTTAGCTTTTGGGCCTTTTCTGCAGTTGTCATGTAATTAGGGGATACCTCACCTGCAAACCCACTTCCCCAGGGCAGCATTTCCCCTGCTGCTGTCATCACTGCACAGAAGGAAAGCACTTTGTTCTCATTCCTGGGAACTCCTTGCATTCCAGGGGTTTATAGAAGAGCAATTGAAAAGTCAAAAGACCACAGAGACTGAAATTGTTATGTCCCCATGTTCAGTTTTCATCAGTTCTGCTGAGGCTCTGGGTGGTAAACTGCACACAGGGATTCATTGCTGAGCTTAAATCAGTGAGAGAAAAGTGTTTCTCTTTTTTGATTTATTTTTTTTCCTTATCTTGACATTTAGTAATAGATTTTTCAAGACATCCAGTTCATCACTCTGGGCTCTAATAGAGCTCACAGCAGTGAGGGGAGGAGGATTTCTGGGTTTGACTGGGCTTGGAGCATGCTGGGCTAGGGGAAGGTGCCCCTGCCCATGGCAGGGAGTAGAACAGGATGAGTTTTAGGGTCCTTTCCCTCCCAAGTAATTCAGTGATCTTATGACTGGAATTCCTTTTTTCACTAAGGGGCAAGAGCTTACTCAACATTTTTTATCCACTTAAATTATTTTGGGACTCAACAATTTTAGTTTCAGTATTGATCACATTACTAAACTTCTTTTTGCTTTACTTCATGGGAAAAAGAAGTAATCTGGATTTTTTTAAATAAGTCAAATCATTTGTCTCAGATACAGATCACTGGGACAGGGACCAGAGGCAGACACTGGCAACAGGAAATTCATTGTCCCTGTGAAGCAGTCCAGGCTGAAAAGCCCAGCAGGCTGATTTTGGAGACAAGCTCCAGGAATGCTCCATGGGGACTGGACTGTCAGGAGCGTTGCTTCCATTCTATGATCAGATTTCTAAAGAAATCTCACACCAGACCCTGCAGTTTTTCTTTCTATTTCCAATCTTTAAGCCTATTCACACATTTCATAGAGTCACAGAAACAGACTGGGTTGGAAGGGAGCTTAAAGCTCATCTGATTCCAGCCTCTGCTATAGGCAGGGACACCTTCCACTATTCCAGGTTGCTCCAAGCCCTGTCCAGCCTGGCCTTGGACACTTCCAGGGATCCAGGGGCAGCCTCAGCCTCAACCTCTCTGGGAACAAAAATTTACGTAGATAAATCTGGCCCCAAAGAATCAATGGAGAATGCTCTTAGGAATTTTTGAGAAGACAGTAGCAAGGGCTTCCCCCTGTCTTGTAGAAACAGCATCATGAGAGCCTCCCTGAAGGCTCTCTGTGTGGAAGTGTCCTTTAGCCTTGCACTGCTGAGGGTGAGCCCACACACAGGCCCAGGGATCCTCTGGTACGTGGAAATTCTGTTTCTGCTGTGAATTACATCCCTGAACTGCAACAAAGGAATTCCCATTATGGTGCTGATGGTTCAGAAATGCAGCACAGGGAGCAGTTCACCCTTCCTTGCTCCTCACTGCTCTGTGGTTACAGGACTTGGGGGATTTATTGTTGTACTCCAACGTGGTTTGGGCACGGGGAGAATGAAGCCTGTGCAGAGGTGTACATGTGTTCTGCAGCTGTACAACAGCTTGTAAAGGCCTTTAGAGTTACCTAATGCTGATTTACTCTTGGTTTCTGCAGGGGCCTGCAGGTTTTTTGTCTCTAGGGAGTTTTCCATGGAGGTTTTGCTTCAAGTTTTTTGAATTGTTTTGTTTGGTTCCTGAGCTCTGAGTGATGCCCTGTTATCCCAGCTCTATCCCTGAGGATCTCAGCATCACACTGGCTGTTCTTCATCCCTGCAGCCAGTCCAGCTGGAATGAGTGGAATTCTTCAGCCCTCCAGCATGTCCCTAACTAGAATTGTGTGCTGATTTTCTGGTACCTCTGAGCATGGCAGTTTTGTGCAGGGCACTGGTGGGGCTGCATAGCCACCAGCGAGCTCATCTCCCAGCCTAATGATTCTTCATTATTTGTATAATGCGAGGCAAGGACCTGGAGATGAAAATATAACTCTTTATGAACCTATGAAAATTATTCTGCAGCACGTAGTAATGAAATCTGTGAGAACATATGGAAAAATAAATGAGCTGCTCTGTTCAAAATAGATTTCTTACACATATAATGATGTTTTATTTTCTTTTATTTGTGCAACCGTAGCGGGGAACTAGGTGGCCTTTCGGTGATTGGCACGTATTTTTTCCTGAACTAATTTGCTATGGGTAGAGCTGTTTGTGGAAGGCCATTAATTCCAGCAGAAATCCATTTCCCTGTGCCTGCAGTGGGCTGGCACCTGGTGTAAGAGCTGTGGCTTCGCATTGCTTTTCCTTTGCCTCACTTAACGCAGCGTGTCAGTGCTTCCTCTCACGGAAGGGATTTTATATGAAACAATTAGAAAAGAGCTATGAAAAGTACTTCAAACCCGTATCCCAGCCTGTTTGATCACTTGGAGGCTGTGCACCGCGGAGCCTGTCCCTGTGTTGCTGTTGGATGAGGAGCAGGAGGCGGCGGCGCCCACGCGGTGCCCGTGGGGACACTGCAGTGGAGGAGGTGCCGCGCGGCACCCGGGGGTGACAGCTCTGACAGCACAGCACAAACCAGCCTGTCACACCTCCAGAAACATCCGTCAGAGTGCTCAGAGCCAAAAAGTCAACACTGGTTGCTTTGGGTGGGCTGGCTTCCTGTTCAGGGCTGTTAAGATTTGCTTAAAGGTTAAGCTGACCCTCAGCATTCTGGGTTCCCTGGTTAGAGGGAAGTGAACAGCTCCTGGTTGCCCTGAAGCTGAGCTGGGCAGTTTGTTTGCAGGAAGGCTCTAAAATCTTTTCCTGCATCATAACATACAGGAATTGTAATTGGCAGGAACACACTTTGGAAATCCAGGGTTCTGGGGGGACTCCTGGATGAGGAAAGCATTACCCAGAGGCACCTCTGCTTGAAAAGCTATTATTTCCAGAAATGCACCCCTGCCCTGGGCTGATCCAACAGTGTGGGCAGTAGGGGAAGGGGGAACTCTGCTCTCCTGCCCTGCTCAGGTGAGACCCCACCTGCAGAGCTGCCTCCAGCTGTGGGGCCAGCACAGGAAGGATCTGGGGCTGCTGAAGCCAGTCCAGAGGAGGCCACAAAGATGCTCCAAGGGCTGGAGCCCCTCTGCTCTGGAGCCAGGCTGGGAGAGCTGGGGGGGCTCACCTGGAGAGGAGAAGGCTCCAGGGAGAGCTCAGAGCCCCTTGCAGGGCCTGAAGGGGCTCCAGGAGAGCTGGAGAGAGACTGGGGACAAGGGATGAAGGGACAGGACACAGGGAATGGCTTCCCAGTGCCAGAGGGCAGGGATGGATGGGATATTGGGAATTAGGAATTGTTCCCTGGCAGGGTGGGCAGGCCCTGGCACAGGGTGCCCAGAGCAGCTGTGGCTGCCCCTGGATCCCTGGCAGTGCCCAAGGCCAGGCTGGGCAGGGCTTGGAGCACCCTGGGACAGTGGAAGGTGTCCCTGCTATGGCAGGGGTGGCACTGGAAGAGCATTAGGACTCTTCACAACCCAAACTGTTCTGTGAATCCTTTGGCTTAAACAGAGAGGAGCTGTGTGGATGAGGGCTTAGATATTCCAGCTGGGACATGAGGCAGGGATTAAACATTTTGAGGTGCCCCAGAAGTTGTGTGTGCTGCTCTGGCCCCTCCACCTGCAGCTCTCTGCACCCACAGCTGGGCATCCTTTCCCCAGGGCTGAGCTCCCTGAATTCAGGGTGCTGCTGGGCAAGGTCAGGGAGAAGTTTGTTCCTTCCAGCTGCAAACACTTCAGTGACTGGTGAGTCCCAGAGCTGGTGGCAGCAGGGGGATGTGCCAGCACAAAGGCAGTGACTGGAATTACTGTGATAATACATTTCAGTCCACTTTTTATAATAGATTATAGGGGAGAGTCTTCATATCTTTTTCAGAGCATGTTTGCAATGGTTCAGTAAGTTTTAATTATTCCAGATCTGTTCTTTTTACGTAGTACAAGAAGCCAGGTCAGATTTAAGGAAATAACTACTAACTCTTCAGACATGTGAGACAAATTTTTTTTGAATGTCACCTCCCAGGAGATGAGAGCCGTGTCCAGGTTAGGGTGTTCTCAGTTATCCCTCATCCATGTTGAATTCCTCTCTCATGCCTCACCTGCTGTTCCACAACACTCCCCAGCTTTCACTGGCCAACAGGCCAAAATGAGCAAGAAGATGCTTTGTTTTCTCTTCCTGACCTTGCTCCGACTTTCACCTGTCAGTGATTGTGGTCACAGCCATCATTCTGTAGGGAAGCTGAATCCCAGGTTGGGGATAACTGCTGAATGATGGTCCCCAGTGGAAATGAAGCTACTGGAGCACTCCACTGAATTTGTTGTGCCCTCTGTGCTCTTCATCCTGACTGTTGGCTGTGTATTCCCTGTTTTCAGGCACCAGAGCAATGGGGCGGTGATCTCCCGCTGCGGCCAGCCCGAGGTGAGCTGGTGGGGCTGGAGGAACGCCGACGATGAGCACCTGGTCCAGTCCGTAGCCAAAGCCTGTGCCTCAGACTCCAGATCCAACAGTAACAAGTTAATGAATGGGAATTGTTCCAGAGATTTGTCCAACGGAGGGGACCTCTCTGATGTGGAATTTGGTAAGGCTGACACTGTTGCTTTTCTGTCAAGGGCAGAGCTCTATGTAAAAGTTTAAACCCCAGTGCTGTAACATAGGGTACCTGCTGTATTTAGTTCCCATTCTCCAGTGCATGTGCATTGTGGGAACGGTGCTGTAACCAATGTCAGAAGGATCCTCTGAGCTCATCACCCGTTTCCTCCTCCCCAGACTCCTCCATCTCCAATGCCTCGGGAGCAGAGAGTTTGGCAATCCAGCCTCAGAAACTTTTGATCCTGGACGCGCGATCTTACGCAGCAGCCGTGGCCAACAGAGCCAAGGGGGGTGGCTGTGAGTGCCCAGGTGAGCAGCATTCCTCCTCAGCTTTCCAGGCAGTCAGTCAAAGGGATTTGCTCCAGTGTGATTACCCCAACACCCTTCAGCACTGTCTGCTCATCTGTCTGAATGTTCTGGATCATGGCAGCCCCCACCCAGCCCTTCAGAGGGCAGGTTGAGCTGTTAATTAGTCTGTTCTCAGGCCATTAACCCAGCTGGCAACAGTGCTCAGTGAATGCTGAACCCTGTGGAATCTGCTGAAGAGCTTTCCCTTGCTGAGTCAGATGTATAAACTAGAGAGAGACAAAGGTGTCCAGTGTGCTCCTGTCTAAAACCCCTGAACTTGTAAAACCCACTGGCTGCAGAGGAGAAGAATATTCTAGAACACTTGTGCAAAATACAACTTCTCAGCAATTTCCCTAAAGCTGAAGCATTTTTCAGTATTTGTATCATAGCAACTGCAATCCTGCCTCACCTTGCATGTGTAATACAGTTGCAACACCACATTCTGTGTTCTTTGGCACTTGTGACTTGGTGGTTTTATAAACAAGATATTATTTATGGTCACTCTTGGGTATTAATGCAGCCTGTTAAAATTCCATGGGTGGAGAGGCTGGAAAAAAGTCCCAGACAGAAAAACTGGAGATAAGATAACGAAAGCTCTTTTGACCTTTTATTTTGGTCTTTGCTGCGATAGCTGCATTTTGATTTGTAGCCACCAGTTTAAAAAAAAAGATAGGTTTCCATTTAACATCTCAAAACCACTAAATAATTCTTCATCAGAGAGTAAAATTTCAAAACAGAAAAGCACAGTATACAGGAAGTTTGATTTTCTTCCTGTATATTGGTTTTTTAGTTCTGTGGAGAAGGTTTTCAAACACCCTGTCACCTTCAATAAAACCTGTTTTGTTTTTGCTGCTAGATTTTCTGCAGGTATTGCCAGGTCTGCTTTATTCTGTGTATAAAAATAGCTCATCTGTGCTGTACTTTAGATATAATTCAGTAAAAATACAAAAAAACCTCTGAAGTTGTCTGATATTGTCTGGGGCTGCTCCTGGAGTTGCAGTCCCTCATTGTGTTTGGCCCAGCATTTGTTGGGCTGATAAAGAGTTGGGAAATCAAGTGATACAAAACATCACAGACTCCTGAATTTTCTTGTGCGAGCACTCAGTATCCCAGGTTCTGAATCCTGATTGTTTTTCTCCTGTAGAAATGGTCATTTTAGTTACTGTGTGATCATTCTTGTGCAGACTGAAGCATCACAGCAGAGGGAAGACTAAATCTTGGGAAAACTACTGAACTGGTATTTTCTGGCTCTCTTGAGGTGCCCCCTGAGCACTGGCCCTGTCTGTTCAGGCCTTCAGTGTTGCTTGAGCACATCCAAAGTAATTCCATGTATCTTGTTTTCCTGAGCTCCCAGTATTTCTCACATGTGTGGTGGTTCCTCATACAATTCCCCTCAGAAGAAAGCAGTGGATGAAGTAGCCTTTCAGCCTTTTTGAGTGCTTAGGAAAAGGAATCTGAAATCTAACTTAAATCCATAAATTACCAATTAAATATTATTTATGTTTCATATCTTTTGATGTTTCTCAGTCATCTTACAAACATTCTGGAACCTGGAGCGCAGGAATTCCCAGAGGTTTGCACTCTGCTTTTTGTAACCTGAAATGAAGCATTTGAAATAAATACAGCAGGACTTTGCTAAATGCTTCCTGTTTTGCTGGGCTGTCATGTTCTGGAATACCCAGCGAGCTCCAAGGACTTACAGAATCTTTGTAAACAGATTATTTCATCTGTCCACAGCAACGGGGGTTTGTTTTCATGAAAAAAAAAAATCCTCTTTTAGAAATGTAATTATTATTTTCTTCCCTCTGTCTTGTTCTTTCCCTGCAGAATATTACCCCAACTGTGAAGTGGTGTTCATGGGGATGGCAAACATCCACTCCATCCGCAAGAGTTTCCAGTCGCTGCGCCTGCTCTGCACACAAATGCCAGATCCAGGAAAGTAAGTGGAAGTTTGGGGGTTTGGGCCCTTGGTTCCATGTTTCTGCAGCCACATTCTTCTGCTGATGGTTTTTAAGTTGAAATTCAGTGGATTTTCCCTTGGTAATAGCGCTAAGCTGTGTTTTTCCATTTTCATGGAAGTCACTGGTTTATTCTGATTGAAGTGAACATAGCAAATTAGTTCTGAAATTAGAGTGTAGCCTTGAATATTGATACCAGAATGTTATTTCTTCTGGTGGGCTTCTGAGCACTCACACTCAGACTGATCTGCTATTCCTAGCTCTTTAATCCTCACTGTTGGCTCACATTTGGAAAACTGTGGTGGCGTTCCATGTACTTCACTCATTTATAATGTCATTTCAGGAGAATATTTCATAACCTTCCAGTGCTGTGGGGTAACTACCCTGTCATGGCCCCTCACCTTGGGAGCTCCTGAGCTTGGGTCCTCACTGTAGTTACCCCAATCCTGTTTTCCCTCTCACTCCCCTGTTTGGAATTTGCTGCTAAAGCCTTCCATGGTTTCAAAGTAGATGCAAACCTTCAGTTCATCCCAGATTCTGGCAGTTCCTTGGGCTCGGTGGCTTTGCTGCTTCCATCTCTGGGAAAGTGTTAACAAGACACAAGTGAAAAATGCTAAGACTGACCCTCACAGCTTATTAAAACGGGAGCTTTGCCATGATAAACTCAGACATCCAAACCTGAAAGCATTTTAAAAGAGCAAAAACTGTCTTGCCTGCTTTCCCTCTAGTTGGCTGTCAGCTCTGGAGAGCACCAAGTGGCTGCAGCACCTGTCAGTGCTCCTGAAATCCGCGCTGCTCGTGGTGCACGCCGTGGACCGGGACCAGCGGCCCGTGCTGGTTCACTGCTCCGACGGCTGGGACCGCACGCCCCAGATCGTGGCCCTGGCCAAGCTCCTGCTGGACCCCTACTACAGGACCACAGAGGTGGGTAAAGCAGCTGTACAGGGAGTCCTTGGGGTCTCTGGAGGGAGTCTGGCTGTGAGTTATTTCAGGTTTCTCCCCTGGCAAAGGCACTGAAGCTGGCAGTAGTTTGTCACCTGTCGTCTGCAGTTACCCTCAGGTGTAGGTGCTTGTGTTACTCAGGAGTAGCTCACATTCCCTCTGCTGTGACTGCACAGTCATGGTCTGTGCTTCCCCATATTTAGTTTAGGAATATGGAGTACGAAGTGCTGCAAGTGCAGCTTCTGCTGCATCCCTGCAGGTTCTCAGCCAAGCACTGATACAGAGCTTTCTTCTTTGCTGCATTTCCCAGCTGCATGGTTTTCCAGTTTCACATTTCCATTGTCCTCTGTCAGTTCTGCTTCTCCTGATTTTCCCCTGTTCCATCACTTTTCAGCACTGTGGGACGTGTGCTGGCTGGCTTCCATCTGCCAGCCCATGGGCAAGATGCCTTTGTTGTCCAGAACAGAACTCTGTGTCTGAACACTGCTGTGAGCTGCTGCTTGAAGCCTCACACACACTAGGACCAGGAGCTGGAACTGCCTTTTGGATGGAAGTGTGAAAACTTCTTGGATCCTTTTCCACATGGATTCTAGAAGCTGGCATCCATCAGGCAAAACGTGCTGCTCTGGCCTGGGCACAGGATCTGCTCCTGGTCCTCCAAAGGGTGCTGTCCTTCCTGCTTGGGGAGCAGAGTTGTGCTGTGCACAGTCTGGGCCTTCCCTGTCTCCCATAAACTGTAGCTGTCTGTACCAGGATCAGAAACATTGAGGAAAATGAGTTTTCAGTGCTGTCAGATTTAAAGCTTTTCAGCTGCCAGCCATTATTTTGGCTCTAATCACAGCCATTATTTTGGCCCTAATCACAGCCTTTGACTCAATAAACATTCTCTACAATTTTTCTTTCCACTAAGAACCAAAACCTTCCTGCCCTGTGATGGATTTCAGGTCCTGTGAGACAAGGTGTGACATTCAGCTGCTCACCCAGGCACTGTTTGGGAATGTTCTTTGCCCTTTTCATGAAAAATCACTCAAGTGAACCTTTAATCAACCTTGTGACTGCTGTACGCACAGACAAGCACCTGCTCTCCCTGAGCTTGGATGTCCTGTTGTGGATGGATGATTTTCTTTTCTGACAAGTGGATCTGACCATCATTTTCAAGAAAAGTTTTTATGTAACTTGTCCAAATACTGGATACCATGATCCAGAAGCTTTGGCAACATGAAGTTCCTACTTTTCACTGCCTGGATGAGATAGGGCTCATATCAGGATCGTCCCTGCCAGTCACTGAGGGCTTAACCTGCCTTATTCCCTTTCCTGTTAGTGTAGTTTGGGAATCCTTATCTGTCCCAATTCCATTTCAGAGCACAGAGGCATTAGGGAAAGCAGGAAAGAGAAGTAATGAGCCCAGTGCTGATGGGAAATAGAAGAGAGGACACAGCGATTCCCACAAGTCTCAGACCCTCTCAGAAAACTGAACCAAAGAAAAATAGGAATTCTTCATCTCTCCTCTCATCCCTGCAGGGTTTCCAGGTGCTAGTGGAGACTGAGTGGCTGGATTTTGGCCATAAGTTTGCCGATCGCTGTGGCCACGGGGAGAATTCGGATGACCTCAACGAGCGCTGCCCGGTGTTTCTGCAGTGGCTGGACTGTGTCCATCAGCTCCAGAGGCAGTTCCCCTGCTCCTTCGAGTTTAACGAAGCATTCCTTGTGAGTTGGGAGACTGCTGGGTAATACACTGCTGCTAAACACTGCTGGAGAGCCTGGGGGCAGGTTTTCCCACTGTTCTGTGTCCAAGGCCAGGTTGGACAGGGCTCGGAGCAACCTGGGATAGTGGAAGGTGACCCTGCCCATGGCAGGGGGTGGAACTGGGTGGGCTTTAAGGCCCCTTCTCCCCCAAACCATTCAATTATTTTATATATATATGAATATATTCTATATATGCTCTCACCTGATAAAGAGAACAGGAAAGCTGCCCAGATATGAGGGACAAAAGCACTTGTGTAACCCACTGAGTCTGTTCACCCTTAAAGCAGGAGCCTCAAGGGCTTCTTTTAGAGTTTAAAGAAATAAATTATTTTAATTGAATAGCCTCACCTAAGAGGTGTAAAACATCCACACAGCCTGAAAAAAACCCTTCTTACTGATGATGCAAACTCCCCCCTGCTTGGATCTTGTTTTGACTTGAATACTCCTCCTCTAAAAACAACCTGCTCCATTCATTTTTTTCAGTTTCTTCACTGCAAATGTGTAGGATATAGGAGCTGTGCTTATCTTCTTTGGAAGCAGACAGCATTCCTATTAGGAATTCACCCAGGATGGTCCAAGTCAGTTCTCAGATCCCTGGGGAAGTGGCAGTCATGGGCTGCAGGACCAGTAGTCTGAAGAGTAGAAGTTTTTATGAAGTGTCTGATCCACTAAGAGATTTAAGGCACATTCCTGTGATTGTGGCTGACTGGAATTACCACTTGCCTGCTCAGCCATGTAACTGAGCCCATGTACAGTCCCCGAGTAGCTCAGTTGTGAAATGAGATACAACCGGTAGTAACTGGCTTCACAGCACACTGCTAATCTCCACGGGCTGAGAGAGAACATACCCGTGGTGTGCTGGCCTTTGTAGAGTGAACCCCTAATTTATTACAGTATTGAACCATTGTCTTCATTTAAACATCTGAATAATCCCAAGGAAGTCATTGATATGCCTGAAGTTAAGCTGGCATTTGTTAGGCTGGGCCCAGCGTGGAGTGATTAATGATCAGCATTTCTGTGCTGCATGAATGTTTTGTAGCAGAGGAATCGTGATTCTGCTTTGCCTGGTCTGCAGGGCAATGAGTTTGTATCAACATACTTGATTAGGAGCAAATATTTTGTCTTTCTATGTAATGTTTTTTCCTGAATTTATTCAGTTATGATTTTAAACGATTCCACTCCTGTTGCATTCCTTTCCAATTGGTTTGTAGGGAAGTATGTGAGAAATGTCGGGGGTTGGTGTGGCAGCCCTGGGGCAGGGTTTGCTCCGGGAAGGGAAGGGAAGGGAGCCGAGGCCAACCCCTTGTGCCAGCTGACGCTGTGTGTGTGGCTCTGTGCAGGTGAAGTTGGTGCAGCACACCTACTCCTGCCTCTTTGGAACATTCCTGTGCAACAATGCGAAAGAGAGAGGAGAGAAACACACTCAGGAACGGACCTGCTCCGTCTGGTCTTTGCTGCGGGCAGCAAACAAAGCCTTCAAAAACCTGCTCTACTCCTCCCAGTCGGAATCTGTATGTACCCCAATCCCCTCCGTGGGAGAGCCCTGGGGGCTGCCCCACACAGCATCCTGCAAATGGGGGTCCCCTGAGAAACAGCCCAGTGGTGGGTGACCTGGATACCTGGGCACCACAGCTGAGCTGGTGGCTGCCCCTGGATCCCTGGAGGTGTCCAAGGCCAGGTTGGATGGGGCTGGGAGCACCCTGGGGTAGTGGGAGGTGCCCATGCCAGGGGTGGCACTGGGTGAGCTTTAAGGTCCCTTCCAGCCTAAACCCTTGTGTGGTTCTCTGAGCTGTCACCACGGACAGAGAGGTGATTCCAGACCAGCTCAGCTCCCCCAGACATTCACCTTGGAACACCCAGCTCAGGCTGATGTTGAAGTCTTGGGTTAGTTTTGCTGATATTTGGGGAATGTCAAATGCCAGCTCAGAAATTTCTCTGTGCTGGAAAGGTGCTTTCTGTGACTAAATATTTTATTGTTTGTAATGGAAAACATTTCACTGTTTGATAAATAGACCTCTCTGGAGAACTGAGCTGTGTCAGAGGAGTGGCACAAAATTGCCTGCAAACCTAGACACTGTGTCTAAATTCATTTTAAATCTGAACAGAAAAAGTGGCTCAGATTATTTAGTGTATCTTTGTTTCTCTTGATACCTTCAGGGTTTTAGTTTGGCTCCTCCGCATAGGAGCTCACTGAAGGTTCTGGGAGGAGGCTCAGTTGTGTGTTTGGTACAAGGTCACGTGAGGGATTCAGGGGTGCAGAGCATGGGCAGGACAGCAAACACCAAATGACATCATGGTTAGGACTGCAAGGACTAGCATAAATATTTAAACCCTTTTTATTTCTCGAAGTATCAGATGTCATAAACTGAACTGTAAGGACTGTGCAGTGGCTTTGTATATGAGGATGTGGCTTTCAGTTGTTTCTTAGAGCAAAACAAAACCCTGGCTAAGCAGGAAGGAGTTTTATCCCCACAGTGGTTGTAAAAAGATGAATTTTCTACTCCCCTGAGCCCTCCTTGGCTGATTGTGCCCTGGCTCTGGGCTGTCACTGCAATGAGCCCTTGGAGCCTTCCCACCTGACATTCCTGGGGAGAGTTCCTGAGGCCGAGCAGACACAGCCTGGGGGGATCTTAAAGCTGTGGATGCCTCTAGATTTCCATGAAAATGCCAGGAGGAGCATAGAGAGGGCTCTATGCTCCTCCTGGCATGTGACTGTGTGGACAGGTGTGTCCTTGGGCTGCCCTTCTGTGCTCTACCCCACTTGGCCCCTGTTCTCAGGAAATACTCACAAGGACACTCCTTCTGCACGTGGGAGTTTGGCTAATTTCCTGGTTTGGGTTCATTTTCTTGTGGTTTTGCTTCAGGCTTTAAAAGGTGCCTATGGTGCAAGTGCATCTCTTACAGAGCCAGAGTTGTTTAACAGCAGCAGCCACCCCACAGCCCTTCCCCTGCTCAGTGCCAGAGAAGCAGAGTGTTCAGAGAATCACAGAATATCCTTATTTAGGAAGGGACCCACCAGGATCATCCAGTCCAACCCCTGGCCCTGCACAGGGCATCCCAAAATCCCACCTTGTCCCTGAGAGCGCTGTGCAAATGCTCCTGGAGCTCTGGCAACCCATTCCCTGTGGAACCTGGGCAGTGCCTGTCTGGTGGAGCCAGCTGTTCCTCTGCCATTGCCTGCTTTTCCATGGGAAAGTTGCTTGGAAAAGAGTGGAATTGCTAAAATGAGTCCCAGGTGTTTTTAAAGTGAAGCAGAAAGCATATTCCACAATCCAGGAATCCCTTTTAAGAGCAAGCTGCCTCTTCAAAGAACTTCTGCAGGTAGTGAATATGTACCCATGAGTGCCTCCCCTGGAGCCAGGCTGGGCTGTGGTGGATTGGGGTCCATGGAGTGAGTTCAGCTCCCCCAGGCATGGTGCAACACAACACACAAGGGAACCTCAGCACTCGTAAGGAGCCACTGAATTCCATGAGTTGTGAAGGTGTAGATTCACAGAGAGCTCATTGCAGTTCATTCAGGAGGAGCTGAAGGCTGGCAGTTTTCTGCCTCTGACAGAAAAAGTCATTCCAGCCTCGAGTGTGGCTGATGAAAAGCTGTCACCCAGCTGAGACCTGCCCAGAGAACTGCCCCCCTCAGAGCTGAACTTCTCCTGTTGGGAGGCAGCAGCTGACCCTTCCCTTGTGCTCCCCTGGCAGGTGCTGTATCCCGTGTGCCATGTGCGGAACTTGATGCTCTGGAGCGCTGTTTACCTGCCCTGCTCCTCCCCCTCCACGCCCGCCGACGACACCTGTGCCCCGTACCCTGTGCCAGGCTCTAGCCCCGAAGAGCAACCTCTGGGCAGGTGAGCCTAGAGCCCAGAAATCCCATCCTGTAAAGTAAGATCAACAGAGAATATTGGGGATATGAAAGGAGAATGTTCGGGTGGGAGGGCAGGATTTCTTGCGGGTGTGTTGGCAGAACTGTGGGACTGAGCTGCCCAAGCACAGCCTGTCCGTGGGGTGGGTTTGGAAGCTGTCACATTTCAGGGCTGACAGCATGGCAGAGAGAAGCTGGGCAAATAGAGTTAAACCCTGGGGGTCACATAGCCACAGAGAATTCCTTCTGTCCTCATGGGATATAAGCTTTCACTGGTTGTCTTGAATTTGAATTATTTTTCAGTGTTGCATAACCATTTCTTCGCTTGTTGTACAGTGGCACTGAGCACACGTTACTTAGGAGGTGTGACCAGGCTGGAATAATTGGGGTTTGTTGGTAAAAGGATTCATCTGGGAATGTTTGAAGTCTGGTTTAGCATATTTTCCTCATGGCAAACGAAGTACTGAAACAGCTCTGCACTACAGATGGTTGGAATGTGCTCCCGGATAATACTTCCCACAAGTCCATTAGCTGTCAGATTGTTTCTGTCCTAGCTGGGGGGCTGGTTTTGAACCACAGTATCTCAATGTTACGAAAACATCCTCTGACTTGGGAGTGGGATTGTTTGTCCCTTTGCAGGCTACCAAAGACAAGATCCTTCGACAATCTGACGACAGCCTGTGACAGCAGCGTGCCTACAACCAACCGCCGGAGCAGCGACCCCAGCCTCAACGAGAAGTGGCAGGAGCACCGCCGCTCCCTGGAGCTCAGCAGCCTGGGCCCCCCTGGGGACGACCCCTTTGAGGGGGACGGGCTGAGCAGGCAGGGCAGGGCCCCCGTGGGGGCAGAGCTCTCTGTGGCAGCTGGGGTGGCAGAGGGACAAATGGAGAACATCCTGCAGGAGGCCACTAAAGATGATGTTGGGCTGGAGGAGCACTTGAGGGGTGGCCTGGAGGCAGCAGGGAAAGGGGATGAGGTTGGCCTGGATAAGGAGAAGAGAGCTGACAGTCTGTGTGGGGAAAAGGCCGAGGCGGATACAGGTACCGTAACGAACAATCCCACAGCCAACCCACACCCAGCCTCACATGGTGCTGCGGAGCTCAAAGGGCAGCAGGACGAGCACAGCGACCCCAGCTGCGTTCTGCAGAAGGCACCTCAGGGGAGAGGACTGCAGGCTGTTCCTTCCGAGGGCTCCGGAAACAGAGATGCTCCAAACAACACAGAGGAGGAAAGTCTTGGGAAAGGTGAAGGAGGAGCGGAGAGCCTGTGCGGCACGGCCCAGGCCAGCCTTGCCTTCCCTCTGATAGCCCTGCTGGAGGAAAGGACATCCAACATCGAAAGCTCCACGGAAACCTTAACAGAGACCGAAGCAAAGCCTGAGCTCATGCCCAGGGCTCCGTGCCACAGACGCCACCCCTTCGACAACAGCACTGACGAGCTGTCCCGAACTCTGGAGAACAGGCCGGAGGGGGAGTGCGTGATAGAGCTCCAAAAACTGGGATCAAGAGTGCATAGGACTTCTGGTAGCAGCACCACACACCTCCCAATGCCTTCCCCTTGTGCCTTGCCTCTAGCAGACCACAAAGATGAGCTGGTGTATAACGGGGAGCTGGAGCTGGAGAACAAACTGGTGGAGAAACCCGCGGGATTCACGGCCCCGAAATTCCCCGCCACCAACGGACACTGCGTCAACGGCGAGGACGGGCGGATCAAGGCCTCACTGAGCCGGCAGGTGTCCACGGCCAGCTGCAGCTCTGCTCAGCTCCACCTGAGGAACTTGCACCAGAAATGGATGTTCAGCCAGCTCGGGAAGCAGCCGGCCAGCAGCCCGGACCAGCCGGCGCGCAGCCACCTGGACGATGACGGGATGCCCGTCTACAGCGATGTCATCCAGCAGCGCCTGCGCCAGATCGAGACGGGCCATCAGCAGGAGGTGGAGACCCTCAAGAAGCAGGTGCAGGAGCTGAAGAGCCGCCTGGAGAGCCAGCTCCTCAACAGCTCCCTGCGGCTCAACGGTGACTACGGCGACGACGTGGTGAGTGAGCGTCGCTAGGCCGAGCACGGAGCTCGCCGAGCCCTCGTCTCCTGGCTCACAGCTCAGGGCCTGACTTTTGGGCTCTTAGACCTCTCCAGGTCATCCTGAAGAGGGCAAACACTGCCCGAGTACCTGATAGTGGCAGATGCTGGTGACTGATACTGTCACCAAACTTCAGATTGACCAGAAGGGTTTATTTCGAGATGGGTGTTGCACAGCAGCTCACACAGCCCTGGCCATACCTAAACACCTTCCCTGGCCTCGGTAAAAACAACCAAACTCTTGGTTTACCAAACTTCAATAAAACCAACCAAACCCCTGGTTTACTACTGTCTTCAAGTAGAGCAGTTATTTTCCTCTGCCATTTTTGGCACAGGATCATTGGATGATTCCTTGGTTCTCTGCAGGTCCCAGCTGCACTGGCAAGCTCTGTGAGCTCAAACCCATCAGGGTCATACCATCCCTTTCAGGTGCTCCAGGCTCAATTACTGGAATAAATTTCTAGAATTCTTAATTAACTGGAACAAATTACCTGAGCTTTTGTGGCAGCTGTATTTCATCTAGGGTTTTTCTCTCAACGAATTAAGGATTTTAAGGGAGCTTTTAAACCATTTGCACTTTTATTTGGAAGTGTTTAAAGTTGTAAAAGTAGAGACTTCTGTAGAGAATTGTGCTTTCCTGTGGGTTTGAGCACTTGCCTGTAATTCCCGAGGCTGTTGCAACACCCATCAGAAATTTCCTTTTCCTACATGGTTATATGCTTGCAAAATTTAAAAAAAAAAAAATTGTAAGAGATTCCCAACTTCTGTTTGTTGAATTCACTGTTTAGAAGTGGCAGAGGTGCTGGATAGTCCCAGGTACGTTTGTTGTGAAAAATCCTTGGAGTCTTCTTGGCTCTTCCCATTGGAGATGCAGCACAAGGTGCTCATCGGGCTCAGTGTCACTGCTAAAAGCTTGAATTCCTTGGATAAATTGGGTGCTTTGCCTTAATGGATTCTGCTCCCATTTTTAAGGGCCTTCAGAAGCTGCAGTGGAGGGCTGGCAGTGCCTCCAGAAAATTCCCCATTCTTAAGGACCTGATCTCTACCTTCTGTTTGTGCCTCAGCTTGGGAGTTGCAGGTTTTCCTCTGGAACTCCAGAATTGCCCATTCCTCAGGCATAAAAATATATTAACTCACGATTTCTTGCTGTTTTGATATATTTTAACGGCTGGCTGAGTTTTAAGTGAGTTAAAATCCACCTCTACCTGGATGGACTATATTAAGGAAGCATTATTCCCAAAATCTATACGTAGAATATACATGGCTCAAATTCTGAGTTTCCCATATGCAATTTGGCTTGTATTTTCCAGAATCTTTGCCAGCAAAAGGATATCTGTATTACTGATTATAGTTTTGAAAGTGAAACACCCTTGGAAAGTAATCAAGACCCTGGAATTGGAGCCACAGGGAGCAGGTTTTGGTTGATTACCCAAAGCCTTCCCAGAACTCTGCAGGAGAAACTGGATTCTAAATTCACTCTGCCTCACATCATCCCATCACCAGAGGGATGCCCTGTTGGGGTTTCTGGGTTTTATTTGTGTGGAACAGGGATCTGGGGGGTTCCGTTCAGCTGTGTTTGTTTGCCAACAGACATCTATTCCCGACTCGGAAAGCAATCTGGATCAGAACTGCTTGTCTCGCTGCAGCACAGAGATTTTCTCTGAAGCCAGCTGGGAACAGGTGGATAAACAGGATACAGAGGTACAGACTAAATCCCTGTAAATTGCTCACTCTGGGATAATCCTCATTCAAATTATCCTCTAGCCTTTGGTCGTGTGCCACTTCTTGGGAACTCTTCCTTGCGTTCCGCTGGTCTCACACCTGACATACCAGTACCTGTGCCTATGAGCCCTCTGTGCACAACCTCTGGGAGCTGGGGAGGGGGCTCGGCTCAGGAGCGTTGCCACTGCCCTGTCTGACGCCGGTGACGTCCCCACAGGTGACGCGGTGGCTCCCGGATCACCTGGCCGCGCACTGCTACGGCTGCGACAGCGCCTTCTGGCTCGCCAGTCGGAAACACCACTGCAGGTAACGGGAGAGGAGGCTGGGCACCGCTCTGCTCCCTGACACCCCCAGGACACTGCCCCTGCCCAGGGGCGCCTGCTGGGGGAGCACGACAGCTCCTGCTGCTCAGTTCAGTCTGTGCAGGGAGATCTGTAAAAGCCACGTTTGGTGTCTGCTTCGCTCCAGCCAAAACAGATCCCACCTTTCTTTGCTCAGACTGGATTTGGAGGCAGTTTAGATTGATGCAAAATAGAGCTTTGTCCTCTTAGCATTCAGAAATTCAGTATGATTTACATGAAATACAGGAATAGCATCTTCTTTCCATTGCTGGTTGGAAAGCTGCTCCTTTCCTTCTCTAACCTTTCTCCCCTTTTCGTTAACTTGCTCCTACAGAATCTGAACGGAACACCTGAGTGAGGTCAAGGTTTTCTGGATTATTCTTGGCCAGACCTGTTGCCACAGAGGCTGCAGCAGCTCAGGCAGTAGCAGGGACTTGATGAAGAGCAGGAGGCAGAGACCACTTGGCTCAATATGCTGAAGTTAAAGGCAGAGAATCTCTAGTTTCCAGTTCTGTTTCAAATAAATTCCTATTCCTGGTTTCTGAACATGCAAAAACTATTACAGGAACCATCATTTAAATAAATCTCAGTTACCACATTTTGAAGCTCTCCTGCTTTTTGAAGTTGCAAAGAGTTACGAACGTAGTTTTGAGTTTGTGTCTGGTTTATACTTTGCTCCATTTGGTCTTGTAAAGTTAACCAAACCCAGGGAAGAAGGAGAAGAATCTGAATTTATTTTTTTTTACCATGCCCACTGTGTTTGTGCAAATTTGTCTCCCCAGGGCTCAGTTCCCTAAACCTAAGCTTGGGACAACTCCTAGAGCCTGGATACACACAGGTCACACACAGCCCCAAGAGGAGTTAAATGCACTCAGGGTTTCAGGTCTGGCTCAAATCTCCCTGTAGGGTCTTTGCTCCTTCAGCTTCCACATGTGCAGTGACGTGGCTGTTGGTGAGACCAACACCACGAGTATCTCTGTAGTAAACATTTACACCCCTCCCTGGGAGTGGAAATGAGTTGAACCCCACAGTGTAAGGCCTTGAGCAGAGTAAAACCTTCCAGCTTCCTTGGTTGCCAGTGTTTGCTCCCTCTGCCTGTAGCCTGAGCTCTCTCTCCTCCCTGCAGGGACACTGACCGAGTTGATCAGCTCTGGTGAGCATTTCCAGCAGCCTCTGTCCGTTGTCCGTCAGCCTTTCCTGGGTGACTTCTCCCAACTAACTCGGCTCTTCTCCCTCTTTGTTTCTCACTTGCCTGGAAATCACCAGAACTAAGCTGGGGGTGGCCAGCACGAGCTGCTGGGGGTTGGATCTGTGTGAACAGCCCTCTGTCCTCACAGAAAGGCTTTTAGGACTTGGCTTTTGAGAGCTTAACTGGGATGTGGCTCAGACTAACACTCACTGTCAGTCCGTGTGTGTACTGCTCACTGACAGGAGATTGTCCTGCAAGTTTTATGCATTTATTTTTGATCATTTCCCTTTTTTCCCCATATTTTTGGGAGAGGGCCACGTGTTACCAAACAATTCCAGTATTGCTGTGCAGGGTGTTGGCAAAAACCTGCCACTTGTTTTAGAAGGACTGAAAATCCCATGGCTGGAACAGGTGCCACAGAGCTGGTGGAGGGTCAGGATAACCAAAACCCAATAAATATCTGAGATTTGGGATGAGGAGAGGAGTGGGGAGTGTGGCTTTCAGTCCCCCTTCCTCAAACGAGCAACATCCCTTTTCCAGCCTGTTTTTTAATGTCTCTTTTTAATCTCTGAAGCAATGCAGGGACCACCAGGATAGAAGGATGAGCTGTCCAGAGCTTTCCAAAGCAGTGTCAGAGCACCATTGTCTAGGATAAAACAACAAAAACCCCAGCATATGTTAGGAATGGTGAGCTCCAACAAAGAGATCCTTGTTTTAATCCCTCTGGTTGGTTTTCCCCTCATCCATCAGTGAGCTACTCTGGGATAATCATTCCCTGAGCAGCGAGATGGGGCTGTGGGAGCTGTGTGGCACCTCCCAGGGCTGTTCCCACTCCTGCAGGTGCTTCTGACAGGGATTTCCAGCAGGTCCCTCCAGTCTCCAGAACCTCTGCAGAGAGGCTGGTCCCTGTCAGCCTTCCCGTGCCGGGGTTCCGGCTCCAAGGCCGCTGTGTGGAGCTGAGGAAATGAGCCCACTGAAGTGGGAAATGGGATTTCTCTGCTGTTTCTCTCCCCATCACTGACCAGCAGCTGGAAATCTCCTTTCTTGGCAAGGAAGGATTAATCAGAGCTGCTGGGTGTCAGCAGAATTCCCTGGCAGTCTCTTGGCAGCAGCAAATCTCCAGTGCAGAACAGCAACAGCACCAAATCCTGATGCCAAAGAGTTAATGGAGAGTCCCTGGGTTTTGTAGGAATTGAGGAGGGCAGGGCACACAGGGCTCCCAGGTTTTGAGGGGGGCTGCAGAAGGTAATTAATGACTCTGAGCAGTAATGAGGTGCATGTGCTGGTGCGGCTCCGCCAGTGCCGGGAATGCTGCGCCTGCCCACCTGTGCATGGAACACCTGCCTGCCCACCCCGGGCTTTGCATGTTCCTCCTTGGCTCAGTTTCCTGGATGCAGGAGTGTGGGACTTCTGGAGTGCCTGTGGGGGCAGTGGGAGGATGGCAGCGACCGAGGGCTTTGACATTTCTGTGTTTAAACCTTTCCAGCTCTGAGCAGGGTCCAGCCTGCTCCCAGCACTGCCACATCCCTCCTGTGAGCCAGGGCTGGATCAGCTGCGTGGATCAGAGCCCCCAATTCCCAGTGTTCCCCACATTCCCCATGGCCTGGCTCAGAAGGGCCCGTGGTGGCTTTCCTTCAGCCCCTCAGCCCTGAGCCCCCCAGCGTGGCATTGGCATCGTGCTGGAGCTCCTTTGCAGCACATCCAGCCTGGAAGTGTCCAAGGCCAGGTTGGACAGGGCTTGGAGCAGCATGTGACAGCAGAAGCTGTCCCTGTTCATGGTGGGGTGGCACTGGATGGGCTTTAAGGTCCCTTCCCAGCTAAACCATTCCATGGTGAATGGCAGAGAGCTCTCTGTGTGACAAGAGGGCACAGCCTGTCCAGCCTGGCTCAGGGCAGTGCTGAACAGAGGCATTTAATGACCTGCAACTCCACACTGGCCCTGGCTCCATGCTCCTTCCTGTGCCCATTCCCTGGATCTCTACTCCAGCCATAGAAGGGAGGAGCACAGATGCTGGAGCTGTCCCTGTCCCTGTTCATGCCCTGACCTGCAGGGAGGTATCTCCCCCATCCTAGCACTGGGAATATCTCATTTTACAGCTCAGGTAACTTTGTCAAACTCCTTCTGATCTTCTCTTTTCCATTTCTCTTCTGTTCCCGATGCAAGGAATTGTGGCAACGTGTTCTGCTCCAGTTGCTGTAACCAGAAGGTGCCCGTTCCCAGCCAGCAGCTCTTCGAGCCCAGCAGAGTCTGCAAGTCCTGCTACAGCAGCCTCCACCCCGGCAGCTCCAGCCTGGACCTCGAACTGGACAAGCCCATCACTGCCACGTCCAACTGAATTCCTGGCCTGGGAGCGGCGGGGGAGCGGCCGGGCCGAGCCTTCCCCACGGACACGCGGATCCCGGGGGCCGAGGCTGGGAGGCTGCGCGTGGAGCTGGGGCCATGGGCGCTGCTCGGCGGGACAGACCCCGAGGATGCGCCGCTGGACTGTGGGATTCTCCTTGTCCGGCTCTTCCCCTTTCCTGCCTGTCCTGTCTGTGTGTCCGTGTCCCCGCGCGCGCGTGTGTGTATATATAATAATCTATCTGTTTGTTTGCGGGAGGGTCCTGGAGGTGGGGAGGGAGCTGCTGAGAGCCAGGATCCCTGTGGGTATTTATCTGTCCCGTGCGGAACTGCTGCAGACCGAGGATTTTGGGGAGCGGGGAGCAGAGGGAGCCGGGCCAGCCGGAGTGCAGAGCCTGAATAGCTGCAGCCTCCAGTGCTTTCAATCACTCCTTATTCCAAACCCAAAACTGCTGTTTGGGAACCTGTTGCTGCTAGAAGAGGTGGGAATCTCCTTCCCCAGAGACCTTTTCCCTCTCTGTTCTCACAGTGGCTGCCCGAGGGGGTCTCAGTCAGGTTCCTGCCCTGGCAGCTCTGGACCTGCACACACAATCCGCGAGGTCTGAGCCCTCGCAGCGGGAACACCTGGAATGCTGGCTCAGGAATGCACGTGCTGTTGGTGAGAGCTGAGTCAGGCATCACACCGGGCCTTGCCAGGCATCTGACCACGCAATTCCTGCTTCAATCCAACTAGGACAGGAGCAGACCTTTGCCTTGTCCTTGCCCCATCCGTGTGAGTCCCTCTGGGAGCAGAGCATTGCCAGGGTCAGGTCCTGGCTGGTCACTCGCACTTTACTGGACGATCCAAACTGACGGAAGGCGGCCGGGACCCGCCGGAGTTGTGGGGCTCGGCCTGTGTGGATTGCACTGGTGCTGGGCACCCTCCTGGGATGCTCCTCCTTTCCCAGGCTGTGTTCAGTGTACTCCAGATAGGAAAAAGCTGCCTGAGGAGCTTAAAACAATCCAAAATACATTATGGATTCCCCTTCCTCCTTCTGTCCCAATCAGACTCACCTCACTGAAGGGTGAAACTCCCAAATACCCGTTTGTAACCAACTGGTAGGTGCTCATCCCTTTCCCTTCCCGAAGATCCTGCTTAGTGCAATCTGGCAAGGAGGAAGAGTAGATCCGCTCACAATGCATTCCCTAGGCAAAATCCCAAATTCTCTATGGTATTCCCAAGAATCCTGCTGGAGTATTTGAGAGTTCTAGATGCAACAGCTCAAAATCCAAGAAACCTTGGGAAAGGAGCATTTCCCCTCCCTGGAATGTCACAATCACATCATCCAAAGGGAGGGTCACATGGAGAAACCAGATGGCAGAGCTCTCTGGGTCTCGGGGGAGACGCTGAGGGGGTTGGACTGTGCCCTTCCCACCCTGCCAGGATCCGTGCGCTGGCGTGAATGCCCAGGAAGGAGGAGGCTGCGTCCTTGCGGGAAAGGGGTCTGGGAATGGACGGAGCATCTTGGGATCTCCCTGGCACAGGTCTAGAGAAAGAGACACTGAAAGTGAAGTGAAGGATGGGGTTTCCAGCCAAGGCAGGTTTAGGATCTGTTCCTAACCCAGCGGTGGGGGCTGGAAGAGAGGCACAGGCATCGCTGTTCCGTGCAGAGCGGGATGAGGGAACGTCCGGCTCCTCCCAGGGTGGTGAGGGGCAGGTGGCAGAGCTGGGTGGGGGGACACCCCAACCCTGTGTGTGGCTTTGGGGTGCAGAATCAGCCGGAGCCTCCGCACGTGCCAAGAGGGTCCGCTCCGGGCCGGGGCTGGGATGTACAGTGTGAATAAAAGCTTGCAGCTCTTTAGGCTTTTTTGGATCGATGAAGCACTTTTTTTATTAATATTATTTTTTCTTTGTATGTAAAGGAGGAAGCCGTCTCTCTGTAGCTGTGTACAGAAATAACCCTTCTCTCCACAAGAGAGTAAAGTGCTCCTATATTTTTCATTTTTGTCAAAAGCGAGAAGTAAATACTTTAGAATTGTTAAATATATAAATAAAAGTGAATAAAGTTTAGACTTTTGCATGGGAGCATTTGCTAACACACTTTCTAATTTTTTATTTTTCTTCACTGTCCCTCGGAGGGAATGTATTGGAGGCTCAGCAGGAACACCAAGGCCTTGGAGAAGGAGGCTGCAGCTGCTGCTCATGGCTTTCTGTTCTATGCTGTGTCTTTCTAAGGACAAACTGTCACTCCTAAACTTAAGACAAAAAATTAAAACTTAGGCTTGGTTTTTCCTGGGGCAGGAGTCCCAGGAAGGAGGAAGCACACAACGCACACACCCTGCCAGGTTCTGTTGGCACAATCAGCATGGTTTTCCTAGAACAGAGAAAGGTGCCAGAGTTTCAGCTCCCTCCATACCATGTTTTTCTTTTTCCCCTTGACCAACCATGGTATCTCAGTCTGGTGATGTTACCCAAATGCAGGAGCAGCCTGGATCTCCAGGGAATTCCCCCTGCTTGTGGCAGGGTTTGGCAGTGGAACCTCCATTCCCACTTGCACCTGCCTTATCCTGACACTGGATGGTGGAGCTGTGGCTCTTTGGGAACAACCCAAAGTCACTCGGGTTTAAGATCTCTTTGTCCCAGAAGGTGGAGAACTCAACTGATGTTGGTCCTGCACAAGGGTTATTCCCATTTTCCAAGCACTGCCTCCTCATTCCAGCTGTGCACAGTCCTGTCCCCTCAGGCCCCCATCATCATTTATTTCTTCTCATACATATTTGAGGATTTGCCCTGAGTTCTTGGGGGTCAGATGTTTCATCACAAGACCTTGAGCACAATCCGTCTGTGATTCGATGGCGTTCATTAAATCAAAATAAACCAGGTTGGGGTAGAGCCACTGATGGGATCTGGAGCAGACAAGAAGCAGGAATGGCGTTCGGTGGTGTAAGGAACGCGCAAAGCGTTTCAGTTACACCTCACAGTGGGATTTCCTGGAGCTCCTCTCATACTCGAGTTTCTCCTGAGGGCGTTCTCAGGGGCTCATTGTCCTGCAGATATTGCGAGCCCCGGGCACAGCCCTGCCGGGAAGCGTTTCTGATCTGGGAAATGCCGAGTGTGGGTCTGCCCCGGCAGAGGGATCAGAGAAGTTCTGAGCTTCCCCAAGGTGCAGAAGAGCTCCTGCCAGGGGCAGCAGCTCTGCCAGCGGAGGACACGGCTGAAGGTGTCAGAGCTCATTTCCCCGCGATCAATTCTTCCTAAGGAGTTTCCTTCCCTCTCTCCTTTGTCCCAACTCCCGGACAGCCCACGAGCCTGTCGGGACACCGGCGCTGCTGTCGCGATAGGCGGCTTCAGTGCTGCCCCCGGGCTGTGGAACAACCTCCTGTGCCGGACCTCAAACCGCGCAGGAAGCGCTGGGAACTGAGCGCCCCTCTCGTCCCAGGTGCCCCTCCCGGGCAGGGCAGAGCGAGGTGGCACTGGAGTCACTGGGCAGGAGGGATGTCACCCGGGCAGGGCTCCGTGCTCACAGCTGGGCACAGGTGAGGGTGGTGGTGGCAGGTGCAGGGTGGAAACCAACGGCTCTGCTGGGGAAGGAAGGGAAGGAACTGCTCACCACCTGCCAAAGGCTGCAGGAGCGGGAGGGAGCCTGCCCTGGGAGAGCTTCCGAGGTGCTGTGAGGCTGCAAAGGGCAAAAACCTGGAGCAGGTTCAGGGCCCGTTGAACAGAGGGGGCCCTGGAATGACCCAGGACAAGGTTTGGAGCCAGCACTGAGCAAAGGGCAGCTCTGCAGGAATGGCCCAGGTGCTCCCCAGTCCATCTCTTCCTGCAGTGCAGTGCCACAGCTCCCATTGTTGCATTTTGGATTTCAGCTCACCGTTCTCTGGACTTTGACATTTTATAAATGCTGCTAAAGTTTGACTTTATTATTTAACAAATCTGGGTTTTAAACCGATTTCCCACAGCTGTGTCACAAAATTATTTTCAGGCCTTGCAGTGGCAGCAGGTGATGGGTTTGATTGTCCTCTTTTTGGGTGGGATTTATATTAAAATAACATCTGAAGTCTTGATTACTTACTTGAAGCACATTAAATATTTGAAACCATGCCCAGCTCTGAGGAGAGAGCTGTTCAGCAGCACTGGAAGTGTCAGACCCTCATGTGTGTAACAGCCTTTATTCTGCTGTAGCCTCAGAGTGAATATTTAGATCTTAATAAATTCATTTTCCTACACAGTGATGAATTCAGAGTCCCCTGTTATCTGAGCTGGTGCATCTGCAGCGCTCCCCGTTTGAGGGAGGCAAATTACAGCTCACGTATGAGGAAAAATTAATCCTGGTGTTCAGAAACATAAAATAGGCTGGGAAAAGGGGAAGCCTGGATTGGCAGCAGTTGGAGATGATCCCTCAGGGAGAGCAGGGGATCCCAGGGGTTGACCAGCTCTGCAAACACTTCCAGCACGAGGCCTTTCCCTCCTGGGTCACATCCAGCTCCTGCTGCTGGAGCCACGGGCACACGTGGGGTGGGCGTTGTGCCGTGGTCACTCAGAGCCCCGCGCTGCTCCCTCGCTTTCCTGTTCCCTGAGCTCCACAGGGCACAGCAGCTCCTGTGCACTGACCCCTCTGAGACCTCTGACACCAAACTGCAGGGACAGAGTCCTGCTGCCAGGACACAGGGAATGGCTTCCCCTGCCAGAGGGCAGGGATGGATGGGATATTGGGAATTAGGAATTGTTCCCTGGGAGGGTGGGCAGGCCCTGGCACAGGGTGCCCAGAGCAGCTGTGGCTGCCCCTGGATCCCTGGCAGTGCCCAAGGCCAGGTTGGACACGGGGGCTTGGAGCAGCCTGGGACAGTGGAAGGTGTCCCTGCCCATGGCAGGGGTGGCACTGGGCTTTAAGGCCCTTCCATCCCAGCCCATTCCATGATTCCATGTTTCCATGATTCTGTGATGTAGGAGATTTTCCAAACCCAAATGTTCTTTATTCCCTGCAATGCACAGACAACAGAAGCCCTTTGCTGCTGGTTCATGGCATCTGGGTGATTCCAGGGAAGCCCTGCTTGGCTCAGCCTGTGATCCCTGTGCCAGGACACAGGGAGCCCATGGAGCCTCCCTTGCTGTGTCCTGCTGGGATTGCTCCGCTCTGCTCCTCCCAGAGCCACCCTTTGTGTCCTCCTGGCTCTGGGACACCTCCAATCTCAGCACACAGCTCCTTCCCCCTCTTCCCACTCAGTGTCTGGCTGCTGTAGCATTTTCCAGCTATAAATTCCAGCTGTCTTCAGTTTATTAGTGCCTTTCTTCTTCTATTAGCAACTTCTTAATTAAAAACTTGTAGCCAGCAGGGCAATACCAAGCAGGTCGACTGATGGGCTGAGGGGAAGGAGAAGCCCACAGCCAGTGCTTAGGTGGAGAATTACTGTATTTCAGTCCAAAACTTACATAGAATTTCTGTCAGGATGGATTGCAGCATCATTAGGGCACGTGCATAGGGAATTAATCAACTTTCTGGAGGCCAGAAATAATAAAAATCCCTTTTTTCTTCAGAAAGCAGCAGTTCCTGAGGAGGTCAATGTTCACAGCCACAGTGGGTGGAAAGGGCTGACCCTGAAGCAAACCCCACCCAGGGGTGGAAGTCTGTGGTCAGCACTGGAAAGCAGGAAGGTGAACAGGGAAGAATGGTGGGTTTCTGGATTTAATCAGCTTCAGTTTGATTTTGGTTGGTTTTCTTAAAAAAGAAGAGTGCTGGCACTTGAAGAGCTGCTGCTTCCAGCTCTTGTCTGGATTTTATCACTTGGACTTTGCCTAAAGCACTGTGAGAACATTCCAGCACCTTGAAGTGAACTTCAAAGCCGTGGATTTCAGCCCGGGGCAGGTGGGGGTCACTCCTAAAGGATTTGATCTGGCTCCTTGTGGAACGGGACATTCCACCACACCTGGAATCTGCAGGTACCTGAGGATTTGGGGGCTGCGTGTCCGTGCGGGGCGGCGGGCGCTCAGAGCCGGCTGTTCCCGAGCACCAGGGCGCTGTCCTGGAGCGCTGCCCCCTCCCCGTAGCTGCCCCTCCCTGACTCCACGGCCACCGGACACAGCTCCTGGTTGCACCACCTGGATGGAGAGAGGGCTGGGCAGTGCCAGCCTGCCACACGCACCGGGCTGGTGCCAACCCGAGCCGTGGCCAGCTGGGATCCCGCCCGTCAGTGCGGGAATGGAGATCGCCCGAGCAGGGAAAAGCCCCGGGGCTGAGGGCAGCCGCTGCTTGTTCCCAGCTGGGTTCGTGGGTCTGGCCCCGGCCAAGGCTTGGATCGCCCCGGAGGCAGAGCAAAGCCTCTGGCACTGCCCGTGGAAGCATCCAGAACATGGGCGGACAGGGCCGTGCCTACCTCAGGGCAGCGCAGACGTCTGTGCGGGAAGCGTCAGGCCGAGCCGCGTGTTCCATTAAGAGAGCTCCTGTGGGGAGTAGGAGGTGTCAGCATTCCCAGGCTCCTGCCAGAACAGCCCAGGGCTCGGGAAAAAAGGGTGATGGTCACTCCTCAGCAGTGCTTGAAGGCTGAGCTGCTTCAGCATGAAAGGTGGGGACTGAGCTTCAGAGCTCCACCCTTGACCCGGGTGTGAATCAGGCGACTATGGCTGATTCCCAGCCCTTTCCTGGTCTGAAATCCATCAGCACAGGAGGGACCTGGAGCTGCTGGAGAGAGTCCAGAGGAGCCACGGAGATGCTGCAAGGGCTGGAGCCCCTCTGCTCTGGAGCCAGGCTGGGAGAGCTGGGGGTGCTCAGCTGGAGAGGAGAAGGCTCCAGGGAGAGCTCAGAGCCCCTTGCAGGGCCTGAAGGGGCTCCAGGAGAGCTGGAGAGGGACTGGGGACAAGGGATGGAGGGACAGGACACAGGGAATGGCTCCCACTGCCAGAGGGCAGGGATGGATGGGATATTGGGAATTAGGAATTGCTCCCTGGGAGGGTGGGCAGGCCCTGGCACAGGGTGCCAAGAGCAGCTGTGGCTGCCCCTGGATCCTTGGATGTGCCCAAGGCCAGGCTGGACAGGGCTTGGAGCAGCCTGGGACAGTGGGAGGGGTCCCTGCCCTTGGCAGGAGTGGCAGTGGATGAGCTTTGAGGTCCCTTCCCACCCAGCCCATTCCATGGATCTGCGATTCCTGTGGTTGCCCTGCCTGTGTAGATCCGTGCCAGGCTGTAGGAGAAGTCCCTGGCTGCCAGCTCCATGGTCAGTGCCCGCTCTGAGCCCGCGGCTGCCAGGAACTGGCGGAGGCTCCCGATGGCTTCCCGTGCCCGCTGCACGGCTGGGGACAGTTCCTCAGTGCCTGAAGCCAGCTCCAGCTTTTTCTGCAGAGAGAACCACCACAGAAAACATTCCAGTGTATTTGCCTTGTGCCAGGGAAGAGGCTGCTGGGACTCTGGGCACACCCAGCTGCTGACAACAAACCCAGATCCAGGTGGCTGCCACTGGCACAGGGGGAGCAGCCAGGGAAGGGGATGTGCCCAAAAGAAAGCTCCCAGCCTTGCCTTGGGGAGGGAGAATTCCCTGTGACCAGAGCCAGTACATTGCTGTTTCCATTCTGGCTTCCCAGCTGCATGTGGGAACCAGCTCTCATCCCAAATTCTCTCTAACTCTATACCTGTATGAGGGCCTAATTCTCCCAGGGTTATATAATAACTTGCACAAATATGCTCAAGCTGTGTCCAGGCAGGAAAATTCACATTTAAAGGAGCTTTCCTCTGCACATTGTGTCAGTCGGAAAGGTCTCAGGACAAGAAGAAATGGCCTCAAGCACCACTGGGAGAGGTTCAAGTTGGATGTTAGAGAAAATTTCTTCACTGAAAGGTTGGTCAGACACTGGCACAGCTGCCCAGGGCAGTGGTGGAGTCCCCATCCCTGGAGGGATGTAAAGGCCATGTGGATGTGGCATTTGGGGACATGGGTAAGTGGTGGCCTTGGCAGTGCTGGGGAGTGACTGGACTTGATCCCAGAGAGCTTTTCCAACCTAAAGGATTCTGTGATTCTGATGAAGATTGGGAATTTAACTGTGCCAGCAGCACTGCCTAAAATCTCCCCTGGTTGAGCTGGGCTTCTGTTCTGCCACATCCCAAATCCCTTGTGAAAGCACCAGGGCTACTCTGCTGAGAGAGTCTGGAATTGTTGTTCTTTGGGCATGGCATTCCCACACTGTTCATCTGTGTCTCCTGTGTTGTTCCCTGTTAGCAGGGATGGGACACTGCCTGTGTTTGGGGCTGGCCCTGCCTCGTGTGCTGTGGTCCCATCTTTCCTCACTCCAGCCCCTCTCTCTGCAGCAGGACTGAGGGATCAGCTTGGAGAGCATCCCCAAAGGCTGGATGTGAACAGCACAGCGTGATGGGAGGTGCTGTTCATTAATTAGCTCCATCAATAACCTGCAGACGAGACTGAAGCCTGTGAGCAGCAGCTACACAGAAGGAATTTTTTATGTTTCTCAGGCTTTCAGTGCTGAGGTGATCCCGCAGCTCCTCTTACTGGACCAGGAAATCCATCTGGGCTGGGCTGAACCCAGGTTTGCTCCATGTTCTCTGACTGCTCAGACCCCGGACTTCCACACTTCCCAGTACTGCTCTTCTGGGCTCCAGGGGCAGAAACACCCCCAGCATGTGCTGGTCAAATACAAGAACAACTCCAATGCCAGCATGAAGCCCATAAAGCTCCAAGCCCATGGAATACTAATGTTCTGAAGTAGCTTGGAGGTTGCTGCTAACGAGAATCACAGATCCCAGAGGCATCAATTCCCACAGTTTGGGTGGGAGCCAGCATGGCACTGGCCGAGCACGGGACACCACCTGCTGCTTGTGGCTGGGACACAGACATACTGCCACAGCTGGAGGATCTGAACACCTGGAAATATGGATCAGGAATGTAAAATCATCATTGGTCCTTAAGGGATAAAAAAGACCTTGTATTTTCTTTGCTCGCCAATAATTTACTTTGTTGTTGTTGTTGTTCCAATTGCACTTGTTCCTTTCCTAACCAAAAGCCCTGGATCTCCTGGAAGGTTTTTCCATGCTCTCTCTGCACTTGGGATGGAGAGGCTGGGAGCTGCTTCAGGACAATGCTCAAGGCAGGAGCAGTTCCTGTTCTCTCCTAGCTGCTCTGCTCCAGCTCTGGGAGGAGGCACACACAGCATCACTGCCCCACCACCCCTTACTGCCTGAAAGGATCAGCAAAGGAGCTCCAGAGCTCCAATTGTTCTGATTCCCTCTGTTTTCCTGGAGGAATTTTAAGATGCTGCTTGTTTGTTTGCTCTCACTGCTCCCAAACCATGTGGTCAGAGTGGTTTTTACTTACAAGATTAATCATGAGTATCTAAAAATACAGTGACAGGAGGAACATCCCGAGCAGGGCTAAAAGCACAATTTTGTGTCAATGCTTGGAGCGAACACACGGCCCCACATCAATAACCTCGATTTGTTTCCCGCTGCCTGAAAATTGGGGCTTTGGTCTGAAAAGGACCTGAAAACACTGTCATATGTCTGAGATTGCAAGGCTGATTTACAGCCTGAATTACAGCCCTACACAGAAATTCTTGAGGCAAGAGTTGATTCTGAACCTTGCATGACACGTGCGAGGCTGGTGCTGAGACCCTGTCCTGGGATGTGCAAAAATTTCACCTGAAGTAACTCAAATGCAACAATCAACAAACTGCCCTGAGCTATTTTAGAGGCACTTTTCAGACTGTAATTGAATTTGAAAGTACACCCAGGGCTCTGGCTCAAAATTCCAGCTAATAAAATTTTAGTACAACACGAACTGACTGGCCCTGCGCAGTATCCACCTGAAATTCTCACCACAGCAGAGCTGGAAGTCAGGATGTGTCCTGGACTGATCCCAAACCATGGACAGCAGGAGAGGGGGGATTCTGCCCTCCTGCCCCACTCAGGTGAGACCCCACCTGCAGAGCTGCCCCAGCACTGGGGCCCAGCACTGGAGGGACCTGGAGCTGCTGGAGAGAGCCCAGAGGAGCCACAGAGATGCTCCAAGGGCTGGAGCCCCTCCACTCACCCTTCTCCCCAGGATTTCCAGACTCATAACCTCTAGACAAGGTGGTTTGTCACAAACTCACCTGTGTATTAAAAACCTAAAAATTCAACCTCTCATAGTCACGTTGTGCAAGGATGGGCAAGTTCTCTGTATTTCCCTTTTCCTAAGGATAATTACAACCCTTGGTTCCTGCTCCTGATCACAGCCCCACCAGCACTGGGCATCTCACCATCAGTAGAGACAACTGATAGAGGATAGAAGCAAAACCTGGCGTTACCCTTGAAATGACCTTCAGAGAACCAGGAGCTGTACAGGTACTAATGCTGCTTTCTGCAAAGCCTCTGACAATGGGCACAAGTCCTGCACACTGAGAACCTTGATGGACAAACATAAAATAAATTCTACTCGGTTCGTGTGCATCAATAAAAAGGAAATGGATTGGTGCAGTAAAAACCCCTTTACGATGGGTTAAATTATTTCCTCAGTAGACAGGATTGGGAGGGATGTTTCAAAATTAACCAGACTCACAGACTGAAAGAATTTGGACACCTGGAGCTCAGAAAGATGTTGTTTATCACTTGTGAGTGAAAACCTGATTCTGGTATAGAAACTCAAGCACGTTCCTGCAGAACTCTGCAGACAGAAATCCCTCCCAGGCTGCCTTTCCAGCACCTGGCTGCCCGAGGCATAAAGGAAAAGCTTAAACTGGCCAGGTCTGATCCTATCCAGAACTGGAGCACCCACACCGCTGAGCCCGACCCAACCCCTCTCCCTGGACATGCAGCAGCCTCAGTGTGACCTGGACAGTAAAGGCAGTGGCATTACTGGAATTTGGAGACCTTGAAGCCAGCACTCACCCTCCCCCTCCAGCCTCACCCACAGCGTGATTGATGGGAGCACTGAGGAGCTCGTTAATTAATGAATCTCAGTACTCGTGTAACTGCTCTGCAGGTCCCTGCTCTGCATCACGGCGCTCTGCTCCCTAATGCTCCCCTGATTATCCAGTTGTTGAGCAGCTGGAGGGGCCCTCCCAGCAGCACCAGGGAGCTGCACCTTTGTGGGGTGTTTATTTAAATTAGTGTTCAGTGTAAGACTGTGTAGGCTGCTTCTTTCCAAATTATTTTAGAGCCTACCCACAGCTCCTTTACTTCTCCATCCATCCATTACCTGCAGTGTCAGACTAAGCTGCTGTTTGCCAACAGCTGGATTTGCCCCCAGCAGATGTACTCAGTCCTGCTCCTGAGTAGATCTGGCTTCTTGTTTGGTGCCCAAATCGTTTGAGGTATTGCTCCAAGTTTTCTGAGAGGATGGCAAGGGGACCCTCACCCCTGGAGGTCAGAGAGGTGCTGTGTACAGAGCACAGCTGAACTGGGGGGGGTGAGATGGGACACAAGTTGCCAACTGCAACCACCGTGAGAACTACTCAGGCTCTGGAAAGCTCTGTCCAGTCCCCAGTGCTGGAGGAGAGCATTGTCCCAGACCCTTCCCTTCTCATGGGGTCTGGGTGGGAAGGTGAAGGCTGCACACCACCAAATCCAGCACTCCAGATGCCCAGGATTCCCTTTCTGTGCCTGGGCTAACGAGATCTGGATTGCTGTGCCTGGATTAATAATGTCACCTCTGAGACAACACCCTCTGATCCTGCCTCCTGTCTCCCTTTTTGGGATGCACCAAGCCAGGAGATGCTCCTTCACCTTCACGAAACTCTGAGCTGTTTTGAACTCCTGTCACCTGAGCAGCTTTAAAAGTAGAGCCAGAGAACAGCAAATCCAAAGAGGCAGAAATGAAATTCCTTTGGCTTTTTCCATCTTTCAGGGAATAAAAATAGAAAGTCATAATGCAGTAGATAGCCCTAGTGAGGTTCAATATTCAGTAGTCCTGTGGTGATTTTCCAGTTAAGAAACAAAACCACAAAATTATTTTGGATTCAGGAAGGTGAGTCACATTTAAAATACACTTATTTTGGTACCTGTCTTGAGGAACTCTGACAGTGCCAAGCTCCCCACTGCTGAGCTGAAAGCACACAAGGATCCCGGGATTAGCACTGCCTGCATCCTGTTTTTGGAAGAGCTATTTAAGGAGCAGAATTGTAAGACACAATTCCAATTGTTGGAATACTCATCTAAAGCTTTCAGTTTGGGCCTATTCCCTGCCAGCCTCGGCCAGGAGCACAAACCCCACAGAAGGCTCTGCCAGGGTGGGTGTGGGCTCACCTGCACTGTGGACAGGAACACAGCCATCGCCTGCCCTTGGCTCTTGGCGAGGGATCGCAGCACATCCAGGGACAGGATATTTGTTGTTCCCTCCCATATGGACAGCACCTGTGTGGAAGAGCATCAGGGAGTCTTTGCAGTGACTGCAGCAAAGGGGAGTGTGAGGGAGCAGAGACACGGCCGAAGTAAGGGATACCAAGGATATCTCCAGAGATGTCTTGTCTCACAACAAGTGGAAGGGAGCAGTGGAGCTCCATTGCTGTGCTAGGGAACAGCCTCAGCTCCAGGAAGACATCCTGTCCTCCCCCGGGGATGGCTGGGCTCAGCAGGAAGGCAGTGAGGCAGGAGCTGACACACCTGGAGTGAGCCTGGGAGGGCTGTGTTCTCCCTTGAGTGTGTCTTTAGCAGGGAACCAGAGTGCTGTGCAGGGGACTTGGTGACACACAGGACCTTCTCCTGCCACCCTCTTACCAAAGCATCCCGGAGTATGACTGGCAAGCCTGTGTCCTCCATGTAACCTTGGCCCCCAAAACTCTCCATCGCCTCAACAGCTACGGCAGAAGCCTGCAAAATGCAGAGAGCTGGCATGATCCACAGTACCTGAGGGGAAAATCCAACCTCCCACACCACACAGCAGCTCCTGCTGGGATGGGCTGACTGGGTCCTGCTCATCTCCTGAGGCAGGTTGGTCATTGCCTGCAGGAGGAGCAGATGGGAGTGAAGCTGAGAGAGGACCTGCAGAAGCAGCTGCCTCCAGAGCAGGAACTGCTGCAGGCCCTGCAGGTATCCCCTGCTCTCACTGCTGTGTCACTCACTCCTCTTCCCAGCTCTGTGGTTGCCAACATTCCACACTCTGGGCTAATCAATCTGTTCCATACCTGTTTCCCCGTGTACAGTTTGGCCACTGGGATGAGCAGCCTCAGCAGCAGCTGCTCCTGCTCACTCGCCAGGTTGGTTTCAGCCAGGCCCAGCAGGCGAACGATCTCCATGAGCAGCAGAAACGCCCCTCTCACCTGCACCTGTGAGCAGAGGACAGGGATCACTGGCAGGGGTCTTGGACTCTGCTGACTCCAGGACCCCAGGCATGAAATTGCCTCCAGGGTAAAAAGCCACCCCTGCCTGCTCAGACCCACAGCTTCGGAGACTCTGAGCAGCCAAGGCACAAAGCATGGAATATTAAAGGTTCTCTGCCACTCTTGGACACTGTAAGTAAAGGGGCAATGCATTACATCAGGCCTCCTTGAGCCTTAACAAGACTCCTAAAAGGCATCCAGGCCCCAAATACACAAATTTTCAAAAGGTAATGGATGTGAGATGATGGTCAACCTCTGAGCACCTGGAGCTGCAAAGTCTGTGACAGATTTCTTCCGGAGCAGCTTACTTCTCTGGCAAGTTTTGATTTGGGAAGCATCAGGGGTTGTGGGACAATCTGCCCTTCCTTTCAGAGGGGGAGTTCTGTCCACAGGCAATGAGAGGCTGGAGCCTGAAGTCATGTTTGACAGATGTTGACCACCTTCCCCCACCTTGCAAGAGAATTTTAAAATACTGTTTACAGCCCATCTCCTGGTGCAGGAGCTCCCAGGGAAGTTGGATGTGTCCATGCCAGTCTTGGACAAGAGTCAGGTGACTGTGGTGTCAGGCCTGGAATCTGAGGCAAACACCCAACTTCAGAGGTCATGGCTATCATAGTAAGGGCACTTCTTTCTCTCAGGGAAACTCCCAGGTAATTGTTTAGGATAACCTGAAGTCCAGCACAGGAGTTAGGTCTGTTATCAGATCAAATCCCACTAGAGTACAACAATGCCCTTGCTGCATCCACCTTGCTGTAGCAGGAATGGCCTCCTAAATCGGAGTGGAGGCAGGCTGGCTGTGCTTACTAACAGCACAGGATCTCTGCCCTCTTTCCTTCCCAACAGGTCTAGCTTGGCTCCCAAAAGCCTCACCTCCATCCGGGCTATTGTCTGCATGTGCAGGGGATGGTCCTTGAGGAGCTTCCCAAAGGCCATGCGCTTGCAGGCATAGTCCCTGCTCAGACTGATCATCCTGGAGGATGGAAACACACACAGTGAACAGTTACACCAGCAGCTTTCCACTTCTGAGCATTCCCTTGCAGTCTCCTCTACCATAAGAACCCTGCTTAGCTATAACCTGTAAAGGTTACCCACCAACAGGTCAACCTCCTCCAGCACTGCTGGCTCCAGCCTGTCCCACAAAGGAGACACTTGGCTCCATGCTAAGCACTGCAAAGTCCCCTTGTCCTGCTCCTTCAGCCCTGGGGGGATCCATGCTGCCTTCACCTTCTCATGGAAGCCACTGCACCAATGACGTTGTGGATCCGAGTGATGTTCAGCATGTTGGAGATGGCGGCCACTCCACGGCCCTCTGCAGAGATCTGCAAGGAACAAGGGCTGACATGAGCCTTTCACATGCCTTGGGTAGGGATGGACACGGGAATGAAAATGGTGTCAACAGGCACATGGACATGGGCTGCCCACTCTGTCCCTGTCTGCCCTCAGGCACTCAGAGACCGGCTTGCTTTAAAATACATTTGTGTCATTTTAGCCAAGTCTGTGGTGTGATGTGGCTGCCCCATCCCTGGAAGTGTCCCAGGCCAGGCTGGATGGGACTTGGAGCAACCTGGTCTGGTGGAAGGTGTCCCTGACCATGGCAAGGGTTGGAATGAGATGAGCCTTAAGGTTCCTTCCAACCCAACCTATCCTGGAATTCTGTTTCTATAACCTGAGAAGCGGCTTTTGGAGACCATGTCAGCATGATCAGTTCTGGTCCCTGCTGCTTGCTCCTACCTGCACACTACACAAATTGTCCCTCTGCTGGCTCAGGAACCAGGATTACAGAAATGACCAGCCTAAAATAACTTTGTTGTTGTTTGTTGTCTTCTCTCACATCTTTTCCTGAACTCTTGTCAGCTCTGCCTCACACAGAGCCCCACCAGTGAATTGTTCTGTCATGTCAGCAGCCAAGCCAGAGAGGTGGAAGAGAGGAAGTTTTTCAGTTGGGATCTCTGCTGAAAGCCCCAGGAGCGAGTGCCATGGCAGGGCAGCCCAGTCCCCAGGGCAGAGGAACTCTTACACACCAGCTCTGCTCTGGCTCCTTGCAGCCACAGCTCTGCTGTTGCCATTTGCCTCGTGCCCAGCTTGTCCTTCAGCCTTTGCACCTCGATGTTGTTCAGCTTCCCCTCCTCATCCCGAACCCTCAGGAAGAACAGGGACAGGCCTCTGGAGCCCTGGGTACACTGCAACGTACAGAGGGGATTTTATTACCACGCAACAAGGAAGAAAAAGAATGCCCCTGCTCCTTCCCATGGTTCCCCACCCAACAGAACTGGTTTACCTGTCCTTCAGCATCTGCTATCCTGGCCAGGGTTAATGCCATATCAGAATCAGCTGCTGATGTGAACCACTTAAATCCATACAGACGATAGGTGCCATCTGGCTGCTTCCTGGCCATGGTCTCGGTGCCGTTTGCTGAAACAGAGGTGAAAATTTCCTGGTCCTATGGGAACTTCTGTGCCAATCACTGTTGATTTTACAGAGTAAGCAGCAGCTCCTTTAAGGCACTTCTTGCTATGAAGATGGAGCATTGGTTAGCTGTTAATCTCTTTCATTGACCCTTGATAAGAAATGCAGTGTGTATAATCCAGTTCTTTAGGAGTTACCTCAGCCGAGAACACAAAGGGCTCTGTGTGCACAAGAGGACAGAGATTGGGTCTTTTGTAGGTTAAAAAGCAGAGCTGTGCAGAGGATTTGGATGATTTCTGCTGAAGTCCTAAACCAGCTCCCTGGCTTTTTAGGTTCCCCACATCCTTTGTGTTCAGTTCTCACTGCCACATCTGTTCCCACCCCACAGCACGTACCAACATCCGAGCCACCCCTTCGCTCGGTCATCCACTGGCCAGAGGTCCAGAACTTCTCAGGGTCACGGGATGTCAGACGGTCAAAAGCGTTTTTCAGAGATCCAGGAATACCCAGTGACTGTTTGAGGGGAGGGAAAATAAACTGAAATGATCATAACACAATAGTTGACATTACACAGTTGCCTTAACTGGCAACTGGGCTCACACAGGCCAGTCTGGAAGCCAGGTGGGTGTCCTGCACTGCAGAGGATCTGCAGGTGCTGCTGAGAGCTGATGAGCCAGCACAGCTCCCACCAGCTGCTGCAGCACTGTGCAGACAGAAGGTGCAGACCTGTGTTACAACACGGAGTGCTAAGCATCCCTATCCCCTTGGATTTCTGGGGAGAGAGGTCCCAAAAAACCCATGTGCCAGGTTCATGTATGCTGGGTGTCTGCAGTGAAGAGGGAACTACCTTTTGCTGCTTTAAGTTTTTGTGTATTTAAATGGCCAGGGTTGGCTACCTAAGGGATATTTTCCTCTGAATCCTACATAGCCACTGAGGCAATGCAAAGGGGGTCACTAAGATGCAGAGCCAAACATTCCAGTTGGTAGAGTCTTGGTGGTTTGGTGAATTTACATCAGGTATGGATCTAGCCTACTATATCTAACTGCCATTCCACACAAATATGGGAAAACAAATTGTCTTGTAGTAAAAATATATTCATAGGATCATAGAAATACAGAATGCTTTGGGTTGCAAGGGGCCTTAAAAGCTCATCCAGTCATGGGCAGAGACAGGGTGCCCCTGTCATGGGCAGAGACACCTTCTACTATCCCAGGTTGCTCCAAGCCCTGTCCAACCTGGCCTTGGACACTACCACTTGGGACAACTTTCCAGCTACCTGCAGTGCCACAGGTGCCACGGGCAGCAAAGGCCTTATTGAACACAGTGCTGTCAGTGAATATAAAGGTTGGCGTGAGCACAAAGGCTTTGTACCTCACAGAGAAAGGCAGTGGGAGAGAGAGCTGAGTCACAGAGCAAGGAAGGGCTGTGCCCAGAACCAGATGGATCAGTGCTCCTCCATCCTTGGCTGGTGCTCCTGTCTCTAACCTGCAGTGCCAGGATGTGGGCTGTGCCCTCAGGGACCAGCCAAGCTCATACCTCAATGACTTTGGCTGCGCCATCAGTCATGGCCAGTGGACAGCTGAAACCTCCAGAGGAGCTTGAGAACAAGTACAGTTTGACAGCCTGGTACAGGCGGCTGGGAGAGGGAGAGACAGAGGGAAAACAGATGGGTTACACAGCAATGCAACAGCACGAGGATAAAATACCTCGACTGGGAAGAGAGGAAAAATTACAGCCAGAATGCATGAGGATCAGACCATTTATTTCTGAGAGGGTAAAAACTGTTCCAGCCAGGAAGAGGGAAGAGGAGCAGTAGAGTTTCTCAGTCCCAGTGGGACAGCCAGCACCAGGCCAGCTTGTACGGTTTTTAAACAATAAGAAATGTGGGTCTCTCTCCATGGTCTGGAATACAAAACACCTGCAAGTGAAATCCCACATCTTTAGCTGCATTACAACTAACACACACAAAGCTGCAGTGGTGCAGGGAACTGCCAGGCCCCACAATCAGGAAGGTGACATCAAAGAATATTATGATCAAGTGTGGGCCATTAGTTATGGCTTATCACTGGTGAGGTGGAACATTGCAGTGGACAGAGAGAGCTGCTGAGGACAGCAGGAGGTGTGCTGGTGTCCGTGCAGCATCTGCTGCTGGTTACACAACCAGCTCAGTCCTGCAAAACGCTGAATAAACCTTGCTGAGAATAATCAGGAAGGCTCTGAGTCATTCCCAATTTGTCCCCGTTACCTCCAGTTGGAGTATCTCTTCTCATAGGCCTCAGCAATCAGCCCTTCCTCTGCTGAAATCTCCTTCATCCTCCTCCATGCTGAGCAGGTGTGGATGTGATCCACGCGCTGCCCCCAGGCATCGTACTGCCGGAACACAGGGGGGTTCAGCTCACATTCCCAACTCAGAGGCTGGATCTTGGTCAGCAGGCGGTTTCCAAACCTCTCCAGGTCCTGATGCACCTCCTCTAGGACCTGTGGAGCAGCAAGGAGAGCCCTTCAGCACATCCCAGCCTCAGTCCCAGCTGGAAGGGCAGAGGACTGACCATGTTGTCCTGCAATGCCAGTGGTCTCCTGCCATTTGGCCCTTCCATGCATTCCATAATACAGCAGGACAGCTCCCTCAGCCTCTGCTGGCACAGCTGTGCTCTGCTGTCACTTTTTTCCCCTCAAAATCACTTTTTCAAGTTACTTTTGGCAGCATCTCTGGATTTCACAAAAGACAGAAGCACTTTAGTGTCAAGGCTGAGAATGACACACATGCACACGAGCAGGGGGGTTGGATGAGACGGTCTCCAGAGGTCCCTCGGCTGCTCCTGATTTACTGCTGGAGAAGAATGCCAAAGGAAAGGCTGCCAAAACCAGAACGCCTTCATCTGTACAGGAAAACTTCCACTGGGCTCAGCAGCTACCTGCCTGTCAGATTAGAAAAAGAGGGATGGAGCAGCCTTTTCAGATTCAGCCTGGCACACAACATGTCTAGATTCAAATTCCCACCCTGCACCCAGGGATCCTTCCTGAAGGATTAATGTGCCCTCATTTCTGCTGGGCTTGGCTGACCTGGATGGAATAATATGTCTGTGGTTAATGGAGGGAAACCAGCACTCACAGAGGAGTGATTGATTCCAACCCCCTCAGATCCCTATTTCAGGGTGACAGGAATTGCCTTTTGCAAGTTCTCTTCCATGTTTATGAGCAAAGCCAAGTGAAGTTACCCAGATTTAAATAACCTAAATATAGATTACTAAAACCAGGCAGGAGAACCCAACCTCCAGCCCTGTTGGACCTCATTGGCCTAAACACATCCAAGACTGTGTTGGGGATCAAAGAGGTACCATGAAAGGAATCTTTTTTGCTGTTCTCTTCCTCTTGAGAGATGCTTGTTCCCTCCTCAATAAAATAATGAAGGAGGCAAATGCAATAATTGCTGCACCCAAAACTGTGCAATTACAAACGCTGTTAATTTCCTGTTGATGACATACAAACATGGCTTTTCCTTTCCCTGCCTGCCCCTGTATTGACCTTCCATTAATCTACATCCTGTGTGATTGATTCCTTCCTCCCTCTGCCATTCCATGTGTGTGATGAAGTTCAAACACACATTCTCCAGGTGCTACTCTGGAAATCTCCATCCTCAGACTAGCCGGTTTTCCTTCAGCAGAACAGTGAAACAGTGTTAAAAATCACAGAACAAGCCAAAACCATGCATGAGAGCCTGTCAGCTGCTCCAGCTATGCCACATCCATATCTGCCATGGGCATGCACCTCTAATCTTTGAACAACAATTTGACAACAATTGAAGGCTGACAACAATTTGAAGGTTGTTTCTGAGGCATAACCCAGGAATCCAAAGTTCATGGGCTTTGCTGAAGCACAGGACTCTTTGAACTGTTGACCTGGTGGGATTTGTAGGCAGAAGAACATGAGTCTACCAAGCAGATCTCTTGGTCTGGGTTCATACAAGGAATTCGTACAACAATCCCTTCGCCATCATCCATATTTCCTAAAAGCCCCCAGCTGCTTCACTGGGAGCTCACGCCCTGACCACACACAGCCTGCCAAACCACCAAATTACCCAAAAAAAAGGTGTTTGTTTCCAAGGTGAAGGAACAAAATCAATACTCCTACACTTGTGACTGCTGAATGTCACACACAGCAGCCTCGGTGCTCCAAAGAAAGGACACTGGGATGTGGAGTGGACAAATCACTTGGGTCAGGGCTGAGGCTGCTGGGTGGTCTCATTCACCCTAATCTGTCCTTTGATGTCATAAGCATGAAGATATGGGAAATGTGCAAATTAATTACACACATTAGGAGTGCCAATAGACGTCCTTTATATTAAAGGATGTACTTTCAGGACAGCAAAGCCTGCTAGATTCCTCTTCACAACAACAACCAGAAAAAGCAGATGCTTAATTCAGCCTTCTCCTTAAATCATCTTCAAACAGAGAAAGAAATTTTTTGTGCCATTTCAAGAAAATTTCTGTACTTGACATGGAATAGCACAACAGGAATCATCCTCCAGCTTCGGTGGGGCACCCAAAGCTTCAGGGGTTGTCACTGCCTGGAGAGGAAGGGGTTCCCACGGAGAGCAGGCTCTCAGTGCTGCAGGCAGCAGCCCGGGCTCTCCTCTCCAGCAGTGAGGCAACACTGCCCCGCTGGGACCGAGTGCAGAAACGAAAGGAAAATGCTGCTCCCGGTTCTCTGGGAGATTTTGGAGCTGCTCTTCTCAGTTTGGGGAAGGAGTGGAAGTAGCCTTGTTGTACTGATCCTTTTATTATCTGGGAGACCTGAATCATGCTTCTTCCGAAGGTGCAGGTTAGGAGCAGGACCTTCATGGTTACCCAAAAGTGTCCTCCTTTCCTGTCTTCTCTTCTGCCAATAAGGCCATGGTGGTGCTTAGGGAGGCCTCATTCTTCTCTCTTGGAATGGCTGTGACAAGCTCCCAGCACTGCCACCATACTCTTCCCACACTGTCTGCCAGGCCTCACAGACCTGGAGAGCAAGCAGGGGAAGTGGGAGCCTCACTGAAAGCCAGGTCCCCTCCCCTATGATCTGGTGGCTTTAGAAGTCATGGCATTGCTTCTGCTGGAATAAATCATGGAGAGAGGTCACACTCTGCTCCATGAAAACTGCTCCCTGAAAAGTGGGAAGCACTTGTGGCCCTTGGGGTGATGGCACAGGCCAGGGAGTGAGGTGAGCCTCCTCCCAGGGGTTCCTGTAGGACTGGAGCTCACAGACAGACATCCAGAGCCTGGGGCCTCACCCCCTCATCTGCACCCCTGAAATCCACACAGAGCCTTTCCTGGCTGAAGAAACGAAATGCCACGGATGTGTGCTGGGAGCAAGCAAGCCCAAGGGGCCTTTCCACCCTCTTGAGTACCCAGCTGAGAACAGCCCCAGTCCTTAGGAATTTTCCTTAAAATCCCTCTTTCACCAGGAAGAGAGGTGGAAGAACAAAGCAGAGTTTGTAAGCATCGTAGTCTGATTCCTCTCTCAGAAATTCCTTTCTCTACATAACTAGACAACAAATGCCCTCACTGACAATCCCAAAACAGCCCTGCAACACCCAGCCCAGTCCCAGGAGCCCACTGGACCACTTGCTGTGTGTGTCCTGGCAGCGTTTGTCATCTCTGCTCTTAAACAAGACAGGTTTTAAGGAATGCTGATAAATTCCCTCCAGTTAAACACTCAAAGGCACAAAAAGGCTCAGACAAATGTTCAGTTCAGAGTCAGAGGCAGCGACTCGGCAGAGTTGTGGTGGGTACACACAGAAACGCGAACTGACCTTGGGAGGAAGGTGTGTTTTCAAGTAACTCCAAAGCAAAGTGTCTTCCAAGTACTGGTTCCCAGTCTCAGGCTGCTCTTGGAAGAGGACCTCTGCATCTCTCCTTGGGAGGCGCATTTCCAAATCTTCTGACACTTGTTTTTCCTTCATGCTGGCCTGTTGCTCCTGCCCCACGGTGGTGTTGATTCCTTTAATACTCAACATTTGGCACCGGCCCCAAGGCAGAAAGTGACCCGATTGCCACAACTTGCACGTGACACTGGATCTCCGCCAGGGTAAGCGACCGGCAAACATGATCCAGCACAGCCCTGGGGGTCTCGCCTACAGCTCTCACCTGCAGACAGCCTTCCTCGCCCAACAGCAGCACCAGTCCTGGTTTGTTTGTGTGTTGTGAAATTATTCTTGTAAAATCAATTAAGTCTTCTCTCCTCCCTCAGGGAGGAGCTTTCCAGCAGCTGTTTTTTAACTGAACTAGGGAAAAGGTCTTAGGAAAGAGGTCTGGAAAAACACAAGTGTGTTTGTTGTCCTATCAGCTGGGCAAACCATCATAACTGGACAGACTGACATTTCCAGGGCTGGGGGAACTGGGAAGGGAGGGGTGTGCTCTCATGAGCATCCCCCTGAACTGCTTGGAGTAGAGATAAAAAGGAAAAAATATGTTTCCTTATCTGAAGGATAACAAATTGCCTGGAGATGGGAAGAATTGGTTTAGGCAGATTATTCTGTAAATAACATACCAGTGAAATAGAGAACCCATCCTCCTTGCCTAGGTTATGACACTGTCTCTAAAATACTCTGCTCCTTGTGAAGTCCCTGATGCCTTTGCATTGGGATGATACCAAGTCTCCCTTTCCCTAGAAAAGTATCAGAGTATTCTAAGAACGTGGATTTGAGTAACTTAAAACTGCACCTCCTTTGGGGTTATATGCTGCTAATAAACCCAGTATTTTACGATAGAGTGATTTTAAACAAGTATGATACCACACTACCGCCCCTGCCATGGCTGTGCTTTTGCAGCACCTTGTCCTGCCCGAATTCCTGGGACAGGGCAGTAGGGGTCGAGACAGGAGCAGATACAGCAGCAAGGACAGAGACATGGGCAGGGACGGAGACAGGGGCAGAGCAAGGGCAAGCATAGCCAAGCATAGCCGCGCGAACAGGCAGAGGCGACAAGCCCGGAACCGGAGCAGGTGCAGGGCAGGGTGAAGCCTTCGCCTCAAGAGCTGGGCTGCTCCCGCCTCCTCCCGCCCTCAGCACCGCCCACGCCCGGGCGTCCGGCGGCGCCGTGCCCAAAGGAGCCCGCGGAGCCGGGCTGGGCGGTACAGGTAGGGGAACTGCCCAGGCGGACTGGGGAGGGCCGATGCCGTGCTCTACGGGTGCCCTCAGCCCCCTAGGGTCTCCCGTGCCGCAGGAGGGCTCCCTCACTGTCCTTCAGGGGCTCCTCAGGGAGCTCCTTATGGGGCTCCTCGGTGCCTCAGGGCGCCCGGAGCTCAGGGACCCCTCAGTGCCTCATGAGGTCCGCCCGTGCCTCACAGCGCTTCCCAGCGCCTCCGGGGAGCTCCGCGCACCTCAGGGACCCCAAGTACCTCAGGGAGCCGCTCCCGCTCCCCAGGGGAGCCCCTCTGGGGCTTCCCCCGCGCCTCGGGGCTCCCTCAGGGCTCCCTCAGCGCCTCGCGGCTCCCGCGCCTCAGCCCCGCCGCCCCCCTCGGGGCTCGGGGCTTCCTCACGGTGCTGCTGTGTGAGGGGCAGGACGCGGCCCTCTGTGCACCCCGGCCGGGCCTGGGCTCCCGCTCGTAAAACTTCCCAGGAACCTCTCCAAAAAATGGGTAAAACACATCTTTGGATTCATGGGTGTTTTTTAAAGGCTGTGGTGCCTCACTTTTCCAACATTAGGCACAAGGGGTCAAGGGGCAGAGTGAGAGTGCAGGGTGTCGGGAAGTAGCGGGTTCCTGAGGACGCGATTTGTCTTTTCCCTTTCAGTACTAACTTGCTGATATTCAATGATAAGGTGGCTGCAGGGTGGGGGAGCGTTGGAGTTCCAGGCAACTTCTGTCCTTCCAGCCCTGGTGAGACACTGATGCCAAAGTCTTGTGCCTTGTACCTGAATAGCTGGGCTGTAATGGGTCAGCTTGGTCCGGGTGATGTTTCCTCCTCAGAAAATCAATATAAATGTTGTATGATTTATAAAACATGTTTTCTTGCATCTTTGCCTCACCTAAATCAGCTTTATTTAGTTAATAATCTCACATTATAATTACAACACCTTTGTCTGCTTTGATTGCATTCCAGTCCTGTTCAGAGTAACTGGGTAAAAAAAAAAAAAAAAAGCTACTTTGCTAAAATATTTAACACGTTAAAAATTTTGCAGGTGTGTATTTGTTTAAATATACTTTTATAGCTGTAATCTGTCCTCATTACTAAATGAAGTGCTAAATTTAGCATAAAAGCTGTCACCGTGTTCGATCAACTTGTCTTAATGACTGCCAGCAAATGGAAATGAGGCTTCCACAGGAAAAAAAAAAGCACAAAAGGTGCAAATGCAGAACAAGGTTTGATCAGCTGAGTTAATAAAAGGCTGCATTAGGTCAGGAGTTAAATCACCCCACCGTGTTTGTGCTATTACTCTATTTGTTACTGGGGAAGTCGAGTGGCTGTGGACACGGCAGCATCCCTCTGGGACCCGTTCGTGGTGTTTCCTTTCATTAACATCCCCCATTTACGATGAGATGTGGAGATCTCCCAGCAAGTCATTTTTCAAACCAGTTAACACAGGCCTTGTTAATTCCAGCTAATGGAAGTTTTTAATCAGGATTGTCAGATGGTGCTAAATCAAGCACCTCGCTCAAGTGAGAAACATGGAATATCCAGTGTTATTGCCTGTATCAATCAACTCTCCATTCTGGTAAAATGAGTATTTTCCTTTTCAATCCAGGCTTGTCTAACTGAAACAATTGGGACTCTTTTTTTTTTTTTTTTTTTTTTTTTTTTTTTTTGTACCTTTCAAAGTGTCCCAGAAGAATCATTCCCTTATCCTGGCCAAGACCAATGTTAGCACGTTTCCTGCTTACCCTTGCTAAGATATTAACTGCTATTGGCAGACCTCCAGTTCTTTCACATTCCCCCTTCACACTTTCTGATGGTTGTAGGAATTAACATTTGTGGTTTGGAATAATGAGAAATGCATTCTGAAGTGGCACCGACTGACACCAGGTGCAGTTGTGGCCCTGAATTTCAAACACTATTGATTGTTTACCAGTGAGCAGGAGTTTTCATGCTCTGCAGGCTCAGTGCCATGGGGTACCCTTGGTTTGCTTTGCTTTACCTGTCCTTCCTGGCAATTAGCTTTCAAACTCTGAGGAATTTCATTCTTACTTTAATATAGATGAGAAATAGCAGTAACTGTGTTTTCTACGTGTCTCATGCCTTCTTTATTTTCCAGGGTTTAGTTACAAGTGGAAGGCAGGTCTTTGAAGCACAGGATGGCTGCTCAGCAGCTACTCAAGCAAAAGAAAAAGCCCTCTAAGGTAAAAAATTAAAATATGGTGGTGCAGACAATCTTAGCTCTCGGTTTGGGACCTGGTGCCCTGTGCCTGTGGAGGGGGAAACCTTTCTGTTGTCTGCACTGTTCTTAGTTGGATTAATTCTAATTCAGTGAGAGGCAGTGTGGGGCTCTGGCATGATTTGACTCAATAAATGTAGGCTCATAGGTGTGCACAGAGCTTTATTAGCAGGAAGAACAGCAGTAAAGTAATGGAAGAACTAAATTTAGTGCAGTGTCCACTGCATTGTTCGTGTGGCATCACACAGTGTGTATTTACTGTAGCTCCAGGTGCTGTTTTACAGCTTGGAGTTAAAATCGCTCTGTTGGCAACTCAGACTGCTGGCAGAGCTCAAAACAGCAACCTTTGGTACAGCAGTGGTTGCCACACCAGGCTTGGGCTTGTGTGACTCCACAATTAAAACTGCATGCCTTTTTTGAGGGGAGGCTGTCTGTAAAGTGCCAGCACTGGGGCAGTGGAGGGGGTGGGAATGTGATACAGGGGAAGGCACAGCCTACCAGTGCACTCTGCATCTGGGTAATGATGGCAGATCTATTGATCTCTGCCCTTAAATAATTTAATCCACCCACCTCACACTTGAGTCTTCCCTGCCTAGCTTAAACACCAGAGAAACCTTAAAATTTCATTTTATATTTCTGAGTTACCCTCTTCCCACCTGCTGAGACTTGTTTCTAAATATAATCTGTGTTACACTTAAGAAGGTGCTATTTCTGTCCTTGCCGTGCTTTTCCAGGAAGCAGTGCTGTTCCCTGAGAGCATCACCACGGAGCAGCAGTCCCTGGTGCTGGTGAAAAGGCTCCTGGCCATCTCTGTGTCCTGCATAACCTACATGAGGGGGCTGTTCCCAGAGAGCTCCTATGGCACTCGCTATCTGGATGGTAACACCTGCAGTTTGTGCTGAGGGCTTCTTTCTGCTCACTGCATTTTACCTGTGATCTGCATTTTACACAGAATCTGCCTTCCGTGTTATCTTCTGGCTGCACATTTGTGTGACTTCACTTTGGGTGGGGGTTGGCTACAAATTCTCAAATCTTCTCAAGTGTGGGTGCAGACAGAATTTCTGATAGAGAGCATGGAAGACAACCTTGAGCTCCTGGCTTCTCTGTTGCTGTTCCTCTTGGTTTAGAGTCATTCCTTGGCAGTGCCAGCCCCATTAATCAGGTCTCCGAGCCAGGAGAGTGACTTAAAACACAGAAAGTTTTAAAAATTTACTCTTATTGGAATGTTTTATTTTCTTTTGGATCTTTGAACCCATGAGGTTCACATTTTTAGTTTTCATTGGGGGGATGAAATTAGATTTGTCCATTTTCATAGAATTGTGGGATGGTTTGGGCTGGATGGGACCTTTAAAGATCATCAAGTCCAACCCTCTGCCATGGGCAGGGACACCTTCCAGTAGAACAGGTTGCTCCAAGCCCCATCCAACCTGACCTTGAATATTTCCAGGAATGGAGCATCCACCTTCTCTGTGGGCAACCTGTGCCAGTGTTTTACCACCCTCATTATAAAAACCTGAGTTACATCTAATCTAAATCATTCCTCCTTCAGTGTAAAACAGTTCCAGTGTTGGGATTTTGGGTTTATTTCCATGAAAACTATCTCATATGTGCTTTGGGAATCAGAACTTTTTAAGGAAAAAAAAGAGCTTTCAGAATCAAACCCATGTCACACAATCCCAAGAATTAGTGATGCTTTGATTCGTGAACATCTTTATGATCATTCAAAGTGTGAAATGTCCCCATGCATTCCAGTCCATTTCTGTGTTTTCCCTTATGGCATTAGTTACCCTGAAACATGTTCACAAGTACTTTGTA